TGGTTGTGTTATCTATGTGCCTGTTGTACTGCCACAACGTACTAAAATAAGGCATCAATACAAACTGGGAATTTAGGTTGGATTTGATTCACCATTTATGATTTAATATTTGGAACCCTTGACTGGGGATATATTTACCGCATAATTTACGGACTATGATTTTGATAAGACAGTTTTCCCGCCATTAGAGAGAGAAAATAATATTGTTCCAGAAGAATGATGAGCAAAGACCGTTCCAGAAAAACGAAAATAATTTGTCTTATTTTGATTCATGAAACAATCAATATAAAAACGAAGTGAGAATAATTGAATGATGCAATGATATGCAAATCAAATGCCAGATACATTTAATGATGCAACGAAAGTAATAAAATCACATATACTGGTTGCAAATGTGCCTACATGAATTGATGTTCCTGTTGGACAAAATAATGTGGTAGCAAATGATTTATCTGTTACACACCTGAAGCGTGGCAGACCCTTAGATTCAAAAGGTTCAGTACTTCGAAAGAAGAAGAATATGACACTACTGAACTATTGCATTCCCAAAGCATAACTATTGCATGCCGGAAGCATGACAGTCGCCGTATACATGTCCCAAAAAGGACAATCTGCAGACATGGGAATGTTAATGCCTCATGCATGAAGCATGATAGACATATAAGTTCCAATGACTCAACTCCTGGAAGTGGAGATTAAAATCCCAGCTCTATAACGCTCTAGAGGAGGTTATGATCCGCATTATCTAAATTATGACTATCTTGGAAGAAATAGTGTAATGCCCTTGAAGAGGCAATAGATATCCAAAGAAATGGAAAGCTTTTATGCATGTGCATGCACATGAGAATATGAGATCAATGATTGATGACAACCAATGGTAATTTTGGTTTTTAAAAGTAGTTACTAAATTCATCAATGAGTTGTATTGATATTGAGTCACGTTCTTTTGTTCGTCGACGAAATGAAATATTATTTGCCAAAAATGGATGAAGGCAATTCTATTACAATCTTGTAAGAACATGGAAAAATGGACCTATATATATATAATACAAATAGCCAAAAGATGTTGAACCAAATGAGGTTACATATAGACATTTGTAATACAGTGAATTACACTCACATGATATGACACAAGGTTACTAATTGAAACCTGAAATTATGCTCTTATAAATAAGTTCATATGAATGGAGAATTATATACGAAGGGTTATGAGTCGCCCACATCATATCTCCACAAGTAAATCCCTTAAGTATACATGGAAGCAAGTTGCTCTGTATAAATTCCAAAGGAAAATGTGTCATGAAGTGTGGAAAATCCCTGAAGGATTCAAATTGCTTGAAGTAAGCCCTGAAAGGGTAAAACATAAAATATGTACTTAAATACCAATGGATGGTATAAATTGCCTTAGTGAGTACTATCATTATGATATTGTTGTAACATACTAAAATCTCTTGCAAGAGTCGATAATATTAGATTTAGACTCCTGAAGAGTCTAGAAAGTTTATAAAGTGTTGAGAGAGATATTGTCTCAAACTGCATAATCGAACAATATGCTAACACGAATTTTATCCATGATGTTTATAAAGAATCATATGGATTGAAGATTATGAGTTGAATACTCAAATTATTTAGACACTAAGAATGATCATTTATATTCGTGAAGGTAAAGATAAATTGATATTTCGTCCAGAAGTACCACATCTTAGTGAAGTATATGCTTTATTGTATTTGGCACAATACATTGTATGAAATAAAGCTTATCTATTAATATATCCGAGAAATTACATACACATGAGTTAAAACAAACAAACAGGAGGGAACCTTCACAAAGATTGCTTATGTGAAGCCTTAGTACTCGAAAGTACCCCAAAAGGGGAAGGCAGTAGAGGTTGATTATTTGGAGTCTCAGTACTTGGTGAAACTCCAGACGGCTGAGACAATAGGTCTCTTTGGAATAAAGACTCGAACCCCTGATTGTCATTTTGAATTCGACCTTTGGATTCCAGTAGCTGGTCGAGTTTTCTTTTCATGTTCATCGAGTAATTATTTGCAAGCATGTGTAACGCTCTATTCTCCTGCTTGAGCCCTCTAATCTCTTGTTTAAGACTTGCCACCTCAGCCATCAATGATTCAACTTGGTGAGTTCGAGCAAGTAGACGTTGGCCCATATTAGAAACAGAGCCCGCACACTGAATACTGAGAGTCAAGGAGTCTTGAACGGCCGATTCATCAAATCGATTTGAAAAGATTCTGTTATCCTTGGGAGTGAAAAGATTCCTAGTTACCACTATAGCGGTTAGATCATTCTTCATCACAAAGTCCCTAACCGTAAGATGACCATTAGAAGAGAAGAAGGACGAGCGCCATATATTATCCTGATGCGGCTCGTATGTATCTTTCCCGAGACTCAAATCTAAACAAAGGTTAGATGGGCAAGCCATTTTCAGAAATGATGGAAGAAAAATGAGGTCAGATAAAATCTCAGAAGTGCAAGAAAGAGAAAATTTTACAGGCAGCAGTTTTTTCGAGCATACATTTTGAGCACAATTGATGTCTCCATAAAAAAAAGAAGCAATAGGGCCATTTGTTCAAAAATCGAAGAGACACCACTCTCCGAATTTCAAAAGCTAGATTTTCAGGATAAAGTTCGTCAACATTTCTCAGACGCAATCTCAGCTTTTGGATATCACGTGCAACTTTGTCAAAGATCTCTGATAAAGTTGAAAACATGTGAATTTTACTGTTCTAATTACACCACAGTTGCTAATAAGAGTAAAGGCACAACACCACTACCTGTTATTAGGAAATCCCTATATACATATATATATATATGTCGACCTCTATCTTCCATAACAAGGCAGACCTACAAAAATATCTAACTCTTCTTCCTCTTCGAGAATACATCTTTAACAAAGTATCTCGAAATACTCAGTTTTCTTCCTCTCCGAGAATACCTCTTCAAATAAGTCACACCAAAACAAGAATATCTCATATCATCAGGGACGAGAGCAAAAATATCTCATATCATGCAATCTCCCTGTCTTTTTCTTTGTACTTATTCTCACCTGGAGGACTAAGGAGAAAGAAAGCAATCAGTCGAAACTTGAAATCAAATTTCTAGTTAGGAATCGACTACATGGAAACTTTCCTGATTGCTTACCTAGCATTGCTCTCGAGTACTCATTTTCAAACTCCTGATATGATGATTGGAGCTACCAAGCATGATGAGTCGCTGAGAAGTGATATTCTGAAGGACCTTTCAAATGCAAGGTTTGCATTTCACTCCTGCATCAGAAGACAAATATTGCAAGAGAAGATGCCAAACCTGCATAGGGAAAATACCACTTTTGCAAGGGAACAGATAAAGCAAGCGAAAATGATACATTGAAGCATGTGGAGATAAGCACAACAAAACACGAACTGATTCATCCTCGACGGGGCCGAAGATCACTTGTCATGTGGAGCTGCTCGTGGTTCCATTTCATTCAAGGACAAGTCCCAAGGATCTTGAAGAAATCAAAAGTTCGATTCAAGATCAAGTGTCCACCACCCTTGAATCAAATTCCATTCCAGATAAAAGGAGTAAATTCAGACATTTGGTGCAAGTCTAGCAGAAAGTCCTACAACCCAGTTCAAGAAAAAGCCTGTGAAAGTTAACAACAAGTAAAGCACCTCATTCGGCAACTCTCCCCGCTAAGAGACTAAAGCAGAAGGATCAATTATCAACCTAAAGAATTTGAAATCAGGAGGAGGTACTCATCAGGGGGAGCATCCAAAACAGATTAAAGATTTTAACAAGTCAATTGAAAACTTGTGGTTATCCAAGGGGGAGTGTTGTAATTTGCAGGCCATTCATTGTGGATGGCCACCCAACCCACTACAATCCCACTCATCCCACTTTACAGTCCTCCCACTGCAACGTTGTCTAAAGTTTTGCCTATAAAATTAATGAGAAGAAGGATAGCAGACAAACACAGAAATAGATAGACATACAACTGCTAGAGGAAGAAAGAAGAAATGAGATAATAGAAAGAGTTATCTTTGTAATCTTATTATTCTAGATTATAATGGAAAGCACCACTGCTGTCCCGAGGATGTACTCCAGTCACATTGACTGTAAAGGAACCTCATAAATTTTGTGTCTTGTTTATTTATTCCACTGCACACATCATCAGATTTACAATTATTGGATGTAGAACTTTTTCATGAGACTTGGACACTGTATGTAGGGTCCACAATGGCTACTTTGTTCCCTCTTTTTCTTTGTGCGGGGCAAGAAATGTCTAATTCTTTAATTTGTCAGTTGGGTTGCTAACTTTGTTGGAGATGTGTTTTTCTTAAGCGACATAACAAATCTAACTTTGGTATTCAATTACTCTCTTGGATGACTCTTAGGCTTTTTGATTAAGTTATAACCCTTCATGCTCATGTCACGCCAAGGTACTGCAGAAGAAAAAACTGCAAAATATGATCCAATTTATCATAATTGATTAGTTAAAATGTTGGTTAACCGTATTCTGAAACACGGAAAAAAAAACATTGGCTTATTAAATTATCTATCGAGCCATGAAAAAGATTCAACAAAAGACAAAAACAAATCCACTATCTATGGTTATACTTTTAACCGGTGTTATAGCATACATTGGGATCCTTGGCTGTTAAATCCTTGACCATGAATACCGGTGTTAAAGTATACACTGAGATTCTTGACTAGTTAAATCCTTGACCGCAAGTCTGGCCCTCTATCGGATGCTCACAATCCAACAATAAATCCATGACAAAACACTGCTGAAGGAGCCAATCCTCCTTGTGTCCAAGAATAAAGAATGTGTTCAAGAGGATGTAGGCCAAATTTAAATTTACATCTCCCTACTGAAGCAAAAACCGTATTTAATTGTGATTTTACATCTCAAATTTGCATCTCTCCATTAGAGATTTGCTCCAATGTACGTTGGCAGAAGTTTCCGAAACAACAAAACGGTTAGGAACACTAAAACTCATCCATGGCAAACTCCTAAGTATTCCTTCTTTCAGCTTACAAGTTGCAGTTAAGTTGAAGCTCACAACAGTTGTTCAAAACAAGGAGAGCATACTAATACCATTCGAGATTCGGGAAGATTACGATCAGCTACATGTTACAAATTCCTAACAGTTCATGGTACCAACGATAACCTGGTTCAACCATAACTAGAATTACATTTTGTAAAACGGACTCGACCACTAATCAATCTCCACTGGCGCAGCCCTGACAGCCGCAGTGCACACACTCTATAACCTTCTCCTCCCTCAGATGCTTGGGAACTCGGCAAACGCATGTGGTGGCAAAGTTATGGTCCCGGGGCTGCATGCATCTTAAACAGCAGAGCCGTTCATAACCAGGCTGCATTTCAAACACAAACCATATGTCATCACATGTCATTAGAGTTGAGTTATAAAACAATAGACCGTAGAACTTCATGATAAAATGACACAAGCTACTTGAGTATGCAATATTTTCCTTTCAGTATCCAAATTAAAGTAATCCAACAGAAGTTCCTTCATCATACTGATACATGTTCAATGCCCATTTAGTTAAATGGAGGTCCGTTTAAGCGTAGATATGTGTTATTGTGGTGGTGAGTGGTGGAGTTTGTGCCTGTGATGGTGATATATGGAGTATCCATGGACACCCATTGACAATCCCTGAGTCATATAGATAAAGATGCAACGCCAATACATGTAGCATGAGAACGTGGCTTCAAGCAATGTTGAAGGAACGTCTGTATTATATTAGCACATTGATCTTTGTCATCACAACTCAATGTCATAAGTTCATAACTACCCATGTCCGATGTCTATGTTTACTCAGTTTAATATAATATTCATGGTTATGTTCTGTTAATCTTATTTACAGGTTTTTCATGATGAATAACTAAGCTCCAATTCCAAGGGAATAATACTAAAACACTTGTTGCAAATCGAGGTAGAAGAGATCAAAGACAAACCTTTTTCCATTTTGCAATTAGATTGCGGTCAGCATAGCCTTGGTCCAGGCAAAACTCATATAACTCCTTGGAAATTTCATTTCTCCGGTGGTAAAGGTCGAAAATGTAGCGGCTCTTTTGATGTGCAACTTTGAAAATAGGCCACAAGGTCTCACATTTTCTCTTACCATCGTGAGTATCATTCTCAGCTGCCAAAAAGTTTAAAACCGAATACACATCAAAATCCTTTCGGGCTCTGAAACACATTGATGTTCAAACTTCAACAAACAATGTAATAAAAACATGGGACGTTTATACCTTCTCTCATCTTAGCTTGTAGTTCGCGTAGCGTAGGCTCAATCAGTTCCCAACCTTCTGGGTAATTGACTCGGTTAGTCTTCACCTTCGGCATTTTATACCTGTCATCCGTCGCAACATATAATCAATTACTAGTCTGGAAATTCCAAAGCCATAATCAACAATTAAAACCGATAACCCAAAACCAAAAATTCATCAAAATCATATGATGAATTCTCCACCTGCACAGAGCTAAATTTCATGGAAAAAAGAAAAAAAAAGAAAGAAAAAAAGCATGTAAAAAAACGCTACATATCGTGCATATAACGATTGAACGGTAAAATCCAAAGTCCCAAAAGACCAAAAAAAAAAAAAAAAAAAAGACCTGAAGGAAAAACAAAAGGGTTAAAATTTCTCTCCGAATCGCACACTAACTAGAAAAAGCTTCAGTCTTTAATTAATCATCGATTTACTTCGCATTAAGATATTTTAGCAATTCGAACAACCTAAAAGAGACAAATCGCAAATTAAAAAAAAAAATAAAAAAACACATTGCTGAAAAATTAGATATAGAAAAAGTTACGTTAGTTACTTGATGGAGAGAAGAGAACGCTGTGGTGGCGGAGGCGGTGGAGGTGGCGGGAAGACATGCGGAGCAGAGCGGAAAGGGGGTTTAGGGTTTTCGAAATATATCTACGGGCTCCCTTTTGGTAGGAGATTTTGGTGATTTGTTTTGCTTTAAAATTGAAAAAGTGCGCCGCCACGACCGTTAGATTCCATGGACGACATGTCGTCCACGGCCCAACATTGTGAATAAAGATTAAAATCTGAACCACTTTCATGTTCATATTCTTAAAATGAAATTTTATTTGCATCTATCAACCTCTTTTTACATCTAATTTACTCTTTTTATCCATATTTTTTTAATTAAAGAATTAATATATCTTTAAACTCAAGTTTATTATCTAAACTACCATCTCAAACCCAATTCAAAATGTAAAGTTATCTTTACACTCATTCCTTTATAAAATAACATCTTTAACTAAATGTTTTTTTCTTCAAGGAGGCATCCTTTGCCCCTGTATAATTGCATATGACTAGCATTTCCATGGGTGTTTTTTTTTTCTGCTACCAAACCCATCTATAGACTTGAGATCCAAGAGATCCTTCCATAGTATGAGATGGCTAAATTCTCTAAAATTCTCATGAATCTGGGATTTGTTCAGGACCAAAATGGACACAACCGTATGAACCGGAATATATTAGGATTAGTGATGTGTGTTGCATATTGTCTCGGTTTACTGCTACAGTGAACAGTTCAAGATTCTATATCCACTGCGTCACCAAGTAAATCCGATAAGTATTCACTAAGGTAGGTTTAAGTACAAAAGACACATCTCCTGATGCATCTCTTCGCCGCCTGTACTCTCAAATTCTTCCTAATTTTTCATTCATGTGGAGGATTATTGGAAATTATATATTATAATTAATATTATAATATTTAATTTTTGTATGAATGAAAAATAAGAGTCATGTGTCATAGTTGAATTCAAATTCATGAGTTGTATATGTTCGTTGGAATTTTAAGCAACAGTCATAATGTTTCAAAAATGGTGGCTTGAGTTCTATATAAACTCAAGCATCCCACCTGTCTAATAGAATTAAGAAAAGAGTTTTCTCTCCAATGTCTTAAGTAAAATTCCAAGTCGTGTCTTGAGAATATGGAATATATGAAGTTCGTCAGAGTCCGAAGATTGAAGTGCTTTGACTTCGGATTATAGATTGTTGAATCCTGAGAGACAGATGCCTATCGAACTACAAGCACAAGAGTAGAGGCAAAATTATGTTTTTAGGAAATTGCATTTATGTAAACCTCAATCTCTAAATATGTCAGTTTTTTCTAACTTTCTCTCTAGTTGTTTATATTAATTTTGTACACATGTGGTGTTGTGAATTTCTTTATGATTATTATCATTGAAATTATATTATTTTTCCCATATTTTCTAATATTGTTCCAATAGCTCCATCTCCCATCAATCACATTAATCCCTTGCTTAGTTACAAGCCTACGTTAGGCTATGCGGAAACAAATTCCTTTGATTTTGTAATAAAGTAAACATGTCGTAAAACAATTTGAATCCTGAATACATCTTGATCGTAAACTAACCCACTTTTCTTCACCATTTGGCCAAACTCGAACAGCTTAAGCCAAGCTACTAAGTTGGAGAAAATGAAAGTACAAGCGATTTTAGACGAGAGAATGGATAAACTCAAGACATTAGAAGGTAGAGGTGAATGTTCTTTATCACTTAAACTATAACGAGGACTTGCTATGAAGTTGGTAGTATTAGAAGTATAACATAATTAGGACTAGTTTGGTATTATTGTGTTTTTTAAAAAAATTGCTTCTACCTATGCTGTGAGAATAAACAGCTATAAAATAAAGCAGTAGAGTGTTTGGTAAATCTTTTTTTTTTTTTTTTTTTGTAAAAGTGCTTTGAAAAAAACAGAATCAATTGTTTGGTAAATTTTTACATAAACTGCTGTGACTATATTAAATGGCTGAAAAATGTATAAAGTTAGATATTGAAATAATAATTTATTTTATTTAAAATCTTATCTTCACGATCTTCCTCAAAACAACTTATCGCATCAGTGCCTCTTCTTGAGAAAGCACTACCTTTTTTATTTCAATTATGAACCAGTGCCATCTCCCTCAAGCATTTGGTGCCGGTGACACCCCAAATCCTCAGCCCAGCCGCGCTACCAACACCCCAAAAATTCCAACCCGGCCCCGCCGCAACTCAGACGCACCCAAATCACCCCACCACGGTCTACACATCTAACCTTCCCCTTTACACAATCTCTCTCTCTCTATACCAAAGCTAAAAAGTTAACTTTCAGTGATGGGGATTCGAAGCACCCAATCTTCCCATCTAGGCTCCCCGAATCTGATGCGTCATCAGCCCAGATGCGATTGGGGGGAGGGAGATGGAGAAACGGAGAAGATATTATTGGGTTGAGAAAGCTTCTTTAAATTTTACTGTTCATCCACTACTTTAAAAAAAGGGCGGGTTTTAGGAATCGGCATTTTACTGCTTCCACTTTTCTGCTTATTTTGACCCGAGATTTGAAAAAACAACACTTACTTTATATTTACCAAACACATTTTACACTCCAGCCTTTTTTCATATCAGTTTTTTTTAAAAGTTAAGCAATCCCAAACCTAACCTTCATTGATTCAAAGCTTCCTTTTATTTGAATTCAACCAAAAGCTTCTTACAAACAATAGCTTTGTTTTATTTAACGTATGTATAACATAATTTAGGAAGCTCTGCCGGGCGGCTGCATTCGATCATGTATATGGCATAGGGGACGACGGCCGCGACGAGGAGGAGGAGAAGGAGGAGTACCTTTTGCATCTTGCAAGGCAGTGGTTATACTGCTCGTCGCACCTATTCCTACACGAAGTTACTGGTGATTTGCTGTTGTCGACGGAACACAGCTGAATGCAGTACGTCATGTTGTTGTCGCAGTGTCTGCGACATCCTTTTGCTTGCGCTGCGGGCCATGCTAGTACGAGCAAAAATGTCACAAGGACAAGTACAGGAAGCACACTCGACTTCATTGGGATTGCAAGGGAATGTGAATCTGTGATGGTGCATTTGACACTCAGTGACGCATGTTTATATACCAAAAAAGTTGTCACAACTATTGAGTGATTGCTAGCCAAAAGCAGTTTTTGTGGGAACAGTTGCATCACATTCCGGTAGCGTGGTGGTAAGTTATTTCTAATAATGGTTTTATTATAAATGGTTCCTGAAATTGATCCTCACAATTAAGATGGTACTTGAAATTGATTAGTTCCTAAAAATAGGTGTTGCAAATCAATGTGGTCCTTCCATCACAATTCTGTTAAAAATGCCGTTAAGTGCTGATGTGGCATATAAATGGACCCCACAATATTTATAGGTTTTTATTACAATTGATCCCTGAAATTGACCCACATCATCAAGATGGTCTCAGAAATTAAAAAGCAATTAATGTAGTCCTTGAAAACAGGTGTCGCAAATGAATATGATCATTCCGCCACAATTCTGTAAAAAAAAAAATTATGTGTTGATATGAGTTTAATAATTAATTAAAATAGTTGTCTAAATACCTTTTTGCACAATGAATTTTTTTTCTTATAGTAGGCCTTACTCCGAAGAGAGATCATTTCCATAAATTCTCAAAGACACAAGGCTTAACCAAGGTCTAAAAAGGGTTTGGAAATAGTTTTCAACCAACAATAGACGCACCTCAGTTATAACCTCATTATCTCAAGGCAGACCTCGTTGTTCTTTGCATCACAAGACCACCAGAGAAGCGCCGAACAAGCTCTCCAAGGTTAAGGTTGTGAGGATGTTGATTAAATGTTAGTAGTGATGTCCCAGAAGTCGATACCAATCGGCCAAGTCGTCACCAAAGGTGATCTCGATCCAGGTTCAATTCGGTGAAGGATGTTGAAGTGTGTAAAGATGGGGGTATTAAGCTTTGTTTTTTTTTTTTTTAGAGAATAGACAGCGAAGGAGGTAGAGGAATGTGGATTGGGATCAGAGGTGATTGCAGGACTGGGTTTTTGGGTTGACTACTTTTTATTAACTATTAAGTTATTAAACCTATTTGCAATTTTTTTTAATTTAATTAGACGTGTGACCCATTTATGTGTTACATCAGCACATAACAAAATTTTTGACAGAATTGTGACGGAATGACTACATGGATTTGTACTTGTGGAACTACATTGATCAATTTTCAATTTCATGACCATTTTGAGATCCCGGGTCAATTTCAGGGACTATTTTGATGTCGTGGGTCAATTTCAAGGACTATTTGTGAGAAAAAATGACGTAATGGAGCTCATTTATGTGCTACATAAACACTTAACATAATTTTTAACAGAATTATGACGAAATGACCATATTGATTTGCGAGACTTATTTTCAGGGACCACATTAATTGATTTTTAATTTTATAAACCATCTTGATGGTGAGGATCAATTTTAGGGACTATTTGTGATAAAAACCCTTTCTAATATACTATTTTATATGTTAGAAAAGATTTTGTAACGAGCGATGATTTTTGCACTCTCGTTTTGTCCTTCTGTATTCCTCTGGTCATTTTAGTCCTTGTTGAATGTTGATTTATTCAATCATGTGACTATAAACAAGAGCAGGAGTGAAAAAGATAGAGAGTGCAGAAAAGTCATTTCCCTGTTATAAGTAATCTTGTTGTGAGTTGATCGTATATAAGTTATAACTTAAACGTATGGTTGTAAAATGTAATTATAGTTCACCTTTGTGCACACATCTAACGTCAACCGGTAGGGATCATATTTGGCCACAAACTCGAGGTTGGGGTTTTGGACATACACAGTGGCGAAGCTAAGAATTTGTCGTAATGGGGGAATGATAAAAGATTTCCCTAAATAGAAACTCTGCGAGGCATTTCATCAAAAACTTTTGTCACTTTATTCAAAAAATTATTCACTATTTGCGTCGTCCATTTCTTCGTTCAACATTCCTCAAAGAACCTAGTAAGTTATCCAATCCAAATCACGGTGGTTTCATATTTTACACCAAAACTGGATATCGTGGTCTGTTAAAATGCAAAGCTTTCCCTGGAATCTTTGGCTTTTCAGCAATAAATTGACAAACAAAATACAACTCCAATCCCTCACTAACTGCTGACAAAGAAAGAAAGAAACTGGTTTAAGGTGCTGTATTAAGGCGACAAGCGTCTGAGGCAATCGATCAATATATCTGTGTGTTCAGGCTTCCCAACAGATATGCGAACATAACCCTTCAACTCTTTGTTGTTGTAGTGACGAATCATCACCCCCATTTTCGCAAGGTCCTCCTGTATCAAACAAAATTGAAACCTCGCTCGATATAGAATGTTCAAAACAGCGATGTATTTACGTGACTTAAACGTACCTTATTTAAGTTTCAGCGGTGAATAGCAGGCTGAAAATTATGAAATGGTTGGATTGCATAAATTGGGTGCAGAACTACAAATTTAGTATGATGACACAATGCTACATTGAGGAAAAGATGAAAAAATACCTTCAGCTTCTTAGGATCCATTCCCAATGTAACCTCACAGAGAATGAAATTGGAATAGCTTGGATACGGGCTGAGAAACGGGAGCTCCTTTAGGAGGTTAAAAAGACGCTCCCTCTCTCGTAGCAAAGCTTCTTTCACCGTCTGGTATATGTAGTAACCGATGTTAGAAATACATTTCAAATGTTAAAAAGTCACAGGAGGCAAAGCGAGAAATCTGAAGAATCCTAACCTCAAGATAGGTGGGATTCTGCAATGCTGCACAAGCAGAAACTTCAGCAGTAACAGAAACATTATATGGTTGCTTAGCTCTCCACAGATATTCAATTATGCTCAGCGGAAATGCTCCATATCCTACACGGAGTCCAGCTAAGCCTGCATCATTTGTGCATTGCCAAAGAATCAAACCATTTACATAAAAGTTGAAACCAGAAGCGTTAAATTGACAAACAAAAGAGAACCAAAGTTTGTATAACGAAAATCTTGTTACTGGAAATTTATTAAGAGTGTCAATAGTACAAAAGCAGAAGTATAGTTTTTATTGCCAAAACCGTGACACCAGAAATTATTTGATAGATATATTTCATTATTCAATAGTTACCAAACTGAATTATATAAAGCAATGTATTCACAAGTAATGACTTATCAAAACAAAACAAGAAGTTTAAGAATACCAGCTCGTTTGCTAAATGTTCGCAGAACAATTAAATTCTCGTGCTTTTTCACCCACCGCATCCTCGATTCGAGTCCTGAAAACTCAATATATGCTTCATCCAGCACGACCAATATAGGAAGCTCAAGGATTTTCAAGAGAATCTCATCACTGATTATACTGTCATCAAATAAGTAGAACATGAAAATACAACATCTTAGAGTGACACTCAGATTCTAGAAACCATACATGTTATGATGGGAGAAGTCTGTAGAGTCATTAAGTTGGAATAAACCATCTCCAATCTTCATTGTGATAAAAAAAATAACATCTCCAATCTTCATTGTGACAAAAAAAATAAGAATCCAGGAGCAATTGTATCAAGATTTTCATAACCGAAGATACAATTCTACTCAAAAACTTCTTTCTTTTTTCTTTTTTTTTTTTTTTTTTTTTTTTTTTTTTTTCTTATTCTGGTCTTCTATTTCTGTGACACAGCTCATCATGCTAACCTTAAATCCATGTCTAACAAAAGTGCCATGTCAATTGCTTACTTGATAGCTTCTCAGCAAGATAACTGGAAAGACTATCCAATCCTTTACTTTTTGCTTACATGTTCCCTAGTAGCACCAGTAGTTTTAGGGACCAGTACACAACCCGTATTAAAAGAATAAGTTGAGTTAAGCAGCTAAGTTGGTTTCTCAAGTTTGGAATGAATCAAATCTATCTCACGTCTATAAAAAACCAGATCTCGAGTTGGGGAAAAGATAGATCATATATCAATGGATAATCAGTTTTAACAATAATTTTGTTCTGGTGAGTACCCTAAACCGCTTGTTAATAGACTCTAATACTTAAAATTCAAAAGGGCCCTAATATCAATCTTATAGCACGTGTATATCAAACATACATACGGAATGAGACAATTTTCAGTTACCTCCCATCTGGATTGTTGGGAGAAGTTAGGAATATGCATTTTGGTTTTTCCTGTAAAACAACATCAGAAATGACTTCTACATCCAAGCTAAAATCCGACTTCCTTGGCACTGCACAGTTCCGCCAAAACACATAGTGTTATACACACATAATGTACATCGAAGTATAAGAGCTGAGGTCTTTTGTCTTTTGAGGAGAGGGCAGATAAGTAGAAAGAGTTTCATATATGAAATAATAAACTTTTTTGAAATATTCAACAGAAAATTAAGCAGGAAGTTAACTTTACCTTTGATGACGGAAGCAGCGTTTACTGCAGCATCAAATTCATACATAGTGAACGTCGGTGGGCAATCAACAATCTTATCGCCAGGATCAAGTACACATCTTCAGCAATATTTAATGATGGACAAATTAAATAGAAGATCAGAGATTGATAGAGAAAAAAAAAAAAAAAAGCATAAAGAATAGCATTTTTTGGAATCTTATACAAACATAATATTCGGTTCTGACCTCATAATCAAATCAATGAGCTCATCAGCACCACACCCAACAAGAATATAATCAGATTCAAGGCCCGAATCCTTTGCAAGGGCAGCACGTAATCGACGGCTTTCAGGGTCAGGATAGATATACGGGAATTTCAATGCACCCAAAGCTTCAAAAACCTACGAATAATATAAAATTACAGTAAGGACATAAAGCAGTATAAAAATCTCGGTATAATGGTGTCACTTAAAAACAAAATGAAACCAAGTGAGTATCAAAATTGTTTTGCTACGAAGCCAAGGAAAAATGGCAAATGTGACTTACCTCCGGAGGAGGACCATAAGGGTTTTCATTTGCATCTAGCTTGATGATGTCCTCAGGCTTCCTTCCAAGTCTGGTTGACAAAACCTGTAGCAAAAGAAACTTATCTGTTGGTTTGGACAGAAATTTCCTAATAGAAATGGTTAATAAAATAATGGAACGCATCAAAGATAAACGATTAACAATCAACTGAGAGATATCAAATTCGACCTTAAAAAAAAAATAACAGTGAAGTACACACAGCAACCCCAATTACAAGAAACAAAAACAAAGAATAGATAAACCATTTCTTTAACAGAATGCATCATCCTCACCTGGACACCCGGACAGCCTCTCATCCGGGGTAAAGACCTAATCTTTACAAGTTCAAATAACAATTAAGATGAATCGAGATCAATTTTGTCACTCAAGGTTCAGTTAGAACAAGCTGCTCCAGCTCAATTTTGTCAACACTAGAACAATAATTCATCATACATTCACGATGCTAGAACAAAAATATCGGTTCACACTCACAGATAATTAAAATTCTCAACATGCTCATTGAAATGCATTGTACAGCTAACTAAACCCACATAAACAAAAATAAATTTAGCAAATTAGTGATAACTAGCTAACTTCATACCAATTAGAACAAGAAAAATCAAATCTTTTGGATTCCAAGTACCTCAAATGGCAAAATGGGCTGATAAGGAGACAAGTTCCTCAAATGGGGTCGAATGAATGAGTCCCCAGTCAAACGCTGTTGACCGTCATTGACTTGTTTATGCTGCACAGGGATTGTGGACGCCATAGCCACCACCCTCACCCTCTTTATATTCCCTTCGATTCTTCCACAGCTGGGTCTGCGGGGGGCGGTTAATCGGAGTGAGGAAGCGTTGTATATATCAATCACACCCATCAACCTCTACAAATTGATGGCTGCGAGGGCAGGTGAGAGCTCGCAGTGGACGTTGGTGATGTCAGCAACAAACTACGCTCGTGGCGGCGGCAGAGAGATGGAGAGGATTATTAGGGGGAAAATCCAGTAATACCAGTGTGTTGAATTCTAAGTCCGACTCTTCTGCCAGACGCCGGCGATTATTTTAAACTAAAAACCGCTTTTTCTTCTTTTTTTTTTTCTTAAATAAAAGTTAATTTTGGTACTATTTATTTTACTCTTTATTTCATCATTTTTTCTTAAAATTCAAAATTTTCAAATATCATTAGTTTTCACTTTATCATTCCGCCTTCAATTTTTCTCTTTATTAAAAAATGAAAATCAGTACCGTTAGCTTATAGTGAATAATATCGTTTGTTAAAATAAAAAATTATATTATATTTGATACTTTTTTAAGCTTTATTTTCTTTATACCGTCTCCAACTCTGGTCTATAATCTATTTTTCCCCTTCTATTCCTCCCAAATCCAACCCAATCCAAGCCTAAAATTGGACCTAAAACAAAGTCACATTTAATCCAGAATTAGTGCAACTGATCCATCAGATATGTATATTTTATTTAACTTTATATTTATAAATTCATTGAATCAACTATATACAAAATTTCGGAATCTGATATATGCGCCATTACTGAAAGCTTAAAAGAGCATACGTAAGCTGGATTTATAAGTTATATATAGCCGGAAAGGAGGAGGTCTTTCAAGAGGTAATTATACATGCACAAGCAGAAAGCTTCTTCTCCTAAAAATTGTGACTTTCCTCTAAAATAACTCAAACTCCAGGTGCTCTCCCGTCGCCTTAAACTCCAAATACTTGGTATTCTCCTGAGCAGCAGGCATGTCTGGGATCTCAAAATCGCAATACTCGGGCAGTTCTGGCGGAATGGCGCAGCGTATCAGTGCCCAATTCAGGCCCTCAAAGAACGGGTGCTGCTTGATCTCACCAGCTCCTTTCTCTGATCCCAACCGATTCTCTGGCTCCTTTACCAACAGACCTCTGATGAGATCTCGAGCCTGGAAGCTAACAAGGGAGCCCTCTGGGAACCTTAGGCTCTGCAACACCACATTGGCCAACGTTTCCTCGTTGTTAATACCTTTGAATGGTGTTCTGCCGTACAGAAGCTCGTAAAGGAAGATTCCGAACGTCCACCAATCAACTGCAGCTCCATGACCCTCTCCTTTGATGATCTCCGGAGCCAAGTACTCATGGGTCCCGACAAAGGAATTGGACCGCGCATCAGTAGGCTCTGCCACAAGCTGCGGCAATGATCTGACATGGGATGCAGGGTCATTTTTGGACCTTTTTGCTTTTGCAGCAGCAGGTAAAAACCTAGGGCTGAAGCATGGGACTTGACAGGAGGGTTCAATGCAGAAGGGCTCGGCGCAGCTAGATTGTGTACGCGGACCAGACACTCTTGCACGATCAACATCGCATGAAGGTGATCTCAATAGAGTTGGACTGACAGCGCACCTGAGAGACAGGTCAAAATCTGTGAGCATGATATGACCATCTTCCCGAACTAGAATGTTTTCTGGTTTCAAATCCCGATAAACTACCCCAAGCATGTGTAAATACTCCAAAGCAAGAAGAATTTCCGCAACATAGAATCTGAAAGCACAAGGTTTAAATTAGTATTGTAATGGTAAAATTCCAGCATCTAATTTAATACACGAAAAAGTATTAGATCAGAGGACATGAACCTAATGGTCCGTTACTCTATTGAATTTGAAGTAAAGCTCTTTAGAGATGACCCAGAAAAATAAAGACCAAAGACAATTCAAGATGTCATGTAGGCATTTCTCAAAGACAAGAGAAGGTGAATAGCTTACTGGCAAAAACACATTAAATATAATTTTAGTTGGGGAGGTGAGTGACAAAGGTGTATATTTTCTTAGACATGCATCTTGTAACCTAATGCTTGACTGCAGATAATATCTCAATAGCATCCAAAACAAAATGTAGAAGTTCGATACGTACAGGTGTTGATTAAAATAATTCTACCTTGTTGCTGCTTCAGAAAAACACCTTCCAATTTGCTTCTGTCGGAGGACATGAAGATCTCCGCCTGGGCAATACTCCGTAACTAAACATGACAGATTATCTGATGTAAATTGGGTATACAGTGTAGGGAGAAAAGGATGATCAAGCATCCTCAGTATTTCGCTTTCGGTCTGCGCCCTTGGCATCTTCTTCCTTTTAGCCAAGAATTCATTGTCCATTACCTTTATGGCAAAAAGACAGTTCGTACTAATGAGCTCAGCAAGATATACAGTTCCTATGTCTCCACAACCAAGCTTTTTCAAAAGATTGAAGTGTCTCAAGCCCAGGGATCCATGCTGCAACCGAACATGACGGATGGCCTCCCACCTCACATCCTTTGACATGTGAGGTTTATTGCTATAACTAGATCCACTTACATTGCTTTCGTCACTCAAACTCGTACTACTACTATGATCACCTTGGCTACTTTTTGAGCTTTGGGAGAACTCCCCTTTTTCTTTTGATTTAGAGTTCGTTTTTGATTTCATGATGTCAGCTCCTCCTGTATTGCCAGTCTTATTGTTGTCCAAGGTGAAGCCTGGTTTACCTGGAGTGCTGTGCACATTACTTGAGTTTATTTCAGTAGTAAGACCGTTAAACTGGGGAGACAAAGAACCTTGATTGGATTGTTGTCCAGCACCTTGTATTGCACATTGGCATCTCTCACAGACCAGTTGTCTTGTCTTCTTATTTAAGATATTCCTATTCCTGCTGGCTTGTTTTACAGAACGGACGGTATTTCTGGATACTTTGCTTGCCGGATTTACATTCACCAAACTAGATGAAGAAGGTACTACATGCAACTTGACTTTTCGCCCTGGTTTTGCTGCTGATACCTTATTCGCTAACTTGGTCTTGGCAGGAACATTTTGAACAAGTCCTGAAGTATTGCCACTTGTAGATTTAAGTTTCTCTTTCTTCCCCAGCTCTGACTTAGTTTTTGTCCGTAACTTGGTGTTGGAAGGGACATTTTCAGCAAGTTCTGAAATATGGTCATTCGTAGATTTATTTTTCTCCTTCTGTCCCAGCTCCGCCTTTACCGTTTGCTTCCCTACTGTCCTTAACTTGCAACTGGAAGTACTTTCATTTTGCACTATTGTGCTCCCAGAATTATTTTCCATTTTCCCAATGGCAAATCGAGGAGAAGAATGTCCACTCTGGCTTGATGACTTCATCTTGGACATTTGAGGATGCTCTGACAGCTCCTTGCAAGAATTTGAAATGCTTTCTTCCTGGCACCAGAGAGATTTCAACCATATTTCCCCTATCTTCACTTGAGGAGGCGCCAGAGTGACTGGATTGAACAACAACTGCATTGTATAACGTCTTGATCCTCCCAGATTCCGAGGCTCTTGAAGGACTTGTCAATTTTGATAACCGTTTCATAGCAGCCATTTCTGATGCCTTGGTAATAGAGAGCTCTCTTAACGCCTGCTTCAGAGTCGCCGGTTCTGAATTCCCAATCCCTGGTGACCGAGACACACCCACTGAAATTGGTTTCTTTAAGGCATTTCTATTTAAGGGACTAGTGCCTACTTGCTTTGAATGATCTGAACCCTTGGATGATGTTTTGATTGCCTCAAAGAGCTTATTAATATCATCTTCTAGAGAATCCTTGTATCCCAGTTTTAGAACAGGAGGAAGCTTCCGATCTTTCTCACCCCTACTCAATCCAGGATTCGTTCGATGCATTCTGTGAGAATATTGACCTGTAATTAGCTCGTCTTTTGCTTCAACAATTTCAGAAGTACCGGAAGACGAAGCCATTTCTAGGGTTACTCAGTCTGTTCACGTAATCCAAATGAAGTGCCAAAATGAGGAAGTTTACAATGATCAGTTCCTTGAGAAGCCTTTCAGGTTTATCACATCACGAGTTAGACTGTTCCATGCCCTATAAAACTAAACTCCCCACATCATGCTAAATGTCATTTCACTGCGGCAAATATAAAATCCATTCCCTGAAATATCAACAAAGTATGAAGAACATCAGTCACCCAACAGCAGATGTTGTTTCCGGTTTGCGCTGATTAGTAAAAACAGAAGTAAGCTACTCAGTGAAACGCAATAGGACTTCAACAAGCAAGATTCTCGAAAAGATTTCAAACTCAAAACCAATACAACATTGCAACACTATTTCCCCGCGCGCCCTCACCACTTGGGCTAACCCCAAGAGCTTAGTCACAGCATCATTTTCGTTACTCGGTTACAATGGAACAAAATCGAACGCTTGACCTAGCGTAATCCTAAATCCATTTCACCACCCTCCCTCACCACTCGAGTAAAACCCCGAGAGCTTAGACAAAGCATCCTTTCAACACCACACAAAAATCATATCTTTCCGACCGTAACACCGGCACGAAACAGATTTCCAATCAATTTGATGGTGTGTAACGAGCACTTTTTATTTTCCCTAATTTCACTTTCCTCTACCGAAACTAACAAATCATAAACTACATGAAAGCTACACCAAGTTTCCATCTTTCATTTTCTTCAAGCAATAATTTAATCACTTCTTGCACATCACCAACAAAAAAAAAATAATTCACCAATAACTTTATCCTACCAAACAAATCAAATTTAATAAAAAACAAATCCAATAAGCTAAAAATTAATTCAAGAAAAAATAAAATAAATCAAAATGCAGAGCTTCATTGAGCTCCTGAAGCTCCAGGAGCTCAAATCCTGAGACCCGAACACGCTTAAAGCAAACCCAGATCGGAGAAACGCGAAGAACAGTACCTGATCGCCCTTCTTCTACAGACGCATTGGGGCAATATTCGGCGAGCAAATCACAAATCTGAGAAATGGCGAAAGATTGGACAAAATCTCAGGGCGCTAAAAACCCTAGAAACCCTTTGGGGGTGGGTGCTGAGAGAGATGCCGTGGCAACGATGGGGAGAGAGAGAGAGATGAGGAGGGGGGAAGCGGTAGAGGACTGATGGCGAGCTAACAAACAAAACACTGTTTTCTCTTTCCTTCCTGGTTGCACTGATTATTTTGAAGAAATGTGGGTCCCGGTCCCACCGTATACGTTGTCGGGTCCACTGAAAACTTGGTGAGAAAACTCTGGTAAGGAAGGTAAACAAAAGGCTCTGTATTTTCTACCTAAATACTTGCAATTTTAATTATTTGTGCAAGCGAGTTTCAAACGAGTAAACGCCTGTCATTTCAACTTTCGATCAAACAATGTTTATTCGGCTCTAGGCTTTTGACCCTAACAAAACTTTCCAAGCTTGTTAGAGTTATATTTTCATCCATTCTGGTCACCCACATATAACACGTTATCTAGTAACGAAATATATATAATGACGTGTTGATCTATAGAGTAACCTAGTTTGTTTGGAATGAAAGCTACAAGTATATAGGACGTTTATACTTTTGTATTTTTATACTATGTAGATAGTGGTAAGGTTGGTGAGGCACGTGGACTTGTCCCAAACAATTTCAATTATTTAATGCATGAGATACTGGACAAATAAGTTAGCTAAAGTATTTTCTATAAATTGATGGTTCACTTAATATTAACATTGAATGAACCAAATTCATGGTTTACCTAACACTTTATATTATATATATATATATATATATTTTTTTTTTTTTTACAAGTTTAATCTAAAGAACGATATGAGACAAAAATCATTTTACAAGTGGTTTATAGTTCATTTGATTAAGAACATTAACTCTTGTATCTGAGATCTTGTGTTTGAATACATTAGTAATGTAGATTATCTCTTCGTTTGTTAAAAGAAAACATATGAGACAAAATATGCAATATCATATGTCATTAAGTAACTAATAACTCTGCCATGATTATGTGTCAACAAAGTTGTCTCCATGTTGCAAGGATGCACCATAAAAAAGGGCTCTACCAAGTACTTCTAGTCTTGATTAATAAGAGTGATTGATTGCAGATGATGTTTTACTGCATCAACGGAAGTTAATACTGTTTATACATTCTAGTTCGAGTTCGATCCTCATTGATTCTCTTTTTCATAACATTTAACAATTTAACCCATTAACGTAGTCATTTGTTAAAAATAAAAGGAGTTTCGAAAGAGATTCAAACATTGCTCGAAGGGTTTTGAGAAGAATTCGAAAAGTGTTCAGAGGATTTGAGAGTATTCAAGTACTGTTCGAGCAGGCGAGCCAAATATGACATTATCATATGAAATTTTCCCTCCTAATTTTAGCTTTAAATAGCATTGAAGAAAATGGTACGATCTATGTACCATGTCGGTTGAGAATCCACCGTCCACCCATTGAGATTGAGATACGACCTAACACTAAATTTTGCATCAGTAAATGCAATGTCTTTCTGATGTTTCTTATTAGGGTAAATAATTGAATGCAATGTCAGTGACTCAGTATTCTGTAGGATGATATTATACTGCAATCGCCAGAGAGAGGAAACACGTACAATTTTGTGTGGCCATGGAATGTTTGGTTTCTTTCGACTTCAATGCCCCCACACCTGACCACACACCAAGTACAATAATGATCTTATTCTTCTTGGAATTGAAAAGAAATTTGAAATCGGTTTGTCCAAATGGAACGAGATTCATTCTAGATTTTTGTGTCTGAAATTTGCGGATCGAGATACTTCACCGTTAAAGAGAGTGAGAAATAGCTACGGATTATCCTTACCGGTCAAGAGAGTGAGAAAGAGATTTAGGTTATTCAAGTTTTACGATTTTTATGAAGTGAGCTAATGAAATAGACTAATGGATTATTCAAGGAATTATGGAAACATTTTCCTTTGTGTTTCCCCTTCTACCTTCTCATATATCAATTTCATCTTACAAAGTGACTTGATAATCAAAACCATCGTATATATTCTAGGCCATTCTTTAAACGTAATTATGCAAAAACTAGACCACACTAGAATATGTTTAGTCATATAGTTAGTTACTAATCAAAATCATAAGCCAAATCAAACCATAAATAACGAATGAAAATCGTGTAACAGCGAGTCTAATTAAACGATCGCGAACAATCATATCCAGTGATATACGCATACATGTACAAATACAACCATACAACAGTGTACATTATGAAGTGGAGCCATCGATCTCACATGGTACATATGCCGACTTCACTCCTTGCCGGCCGAAAGGGATGGTGGTGGGTGTTCGTATTGGCCCCTCCTCAGTCCCCAACTTAAGCAGTGAACATGGGAAGCCATGATTAGCATATAAAGTGACCAATTAATTTGGTAATCCCAAGTCCTTAGGCACCTAAAGTGAAGCCATCAAATCTTCTTTTCTTTTTCTTTTTTCTCTCCTTAGTCATTGCTTAGTAGATAAAAAGCAATTTGCTTTTGGGATATCAAAAGGTTTTGGATGAAATGATATTGTTGAAACTTGAAAGCCAGCCTTCTAACTGCTTCCATTAGGCAAAAGATTTGGTATAAGATAACAATAATTAAGCTTTGGATCCCTTTTTTTTTTTTAATTCTTCTTTTGATCAACATCAATTGTACTTCAACACCATTTGATTCTTTGATGGTTGATGGGAAGAGACCATCTATTAGGAAAATATTCTTGATGCCACTTAAACCGACTCCAACAAAGCGACACATACCCAAATATTTAGATTTAAACTTTAAAATTGTCACCCGCCCGACAACAAGACTTAAATTTGAAAATTTTGGATTTTGACCCAAATGAAAACCCAAATTTGGATTTTTATTTGGCTGACCCAAATGTTGGGGGCTACCCTTTTATAAAAATAAAAAAAAAACGCACGGGACTTTGGATGTGATGGCTAACAGTTAGGTCTCACGTGTCAGGAAGGCCCGCTTGTCCAACGGTAACAATCCAAATCAAATACGCGCCTTTCGATTTCTAGATGTTGGCTATCAAAGGTCCAGATCAAAATCTTTTTTTTTTTTCCAAATCCAATGGTAAAAAAGACCCAATGGCTGAAATTTAAATCCAAACATAAATTTTTGTGTATAGAAGTTTGGTTAGTAGAGTGGTTGGTTGGTGTGGTTTGTTTGGTTTTTTAACTTTTGTCGGAATTTAAATTTGGTTAAGTTAAAACATTCGTACATTAAATTAAGATAAACTAACTAAAACTTTCAATTTTGGGTCTAAATCCTAACGGAATTCACAACAGAGCTTAAATCCTAATTTTTTTACCATATGGGCTATCTTCCGACTACCCTATCATCACATAGACTATTACTCCAATTAAGCCTTATACTTCTATATCCAATCTTTCTTTAATGAAACATCGAGTTATACGAAAAATAAATACGTGATATTAAAAATAGAAGATCTAGCAGTTAAGGACATCAAATCTAATAGCTAACACAACCATAACAGTAAGTAAGTGCTACGTAGCACTGAAGCCAAACTCTTTAATATATTCGACTTCATTTCTCCCATCTTTCTTCTTCTTATTTCCCATATCTTTTACCTTCATTTCATTTGCATAATCAGGCTTTTGACACTGGATAACCTAAGCCCAACATGATTCGAACACTTTTTTGGGTGAAAGCCCGATTAGTAATATATTTGAGTGAACTGGGCTTTGACTCATTTTCGTAGATCCAATTGACTATAACCCAATCAAATGCCGCCTAAGGGCCCATATTTGAGTGAACTGGGCTTTGATCATAGTGCTGCTGCTGTTGATTACGAAGCGTATGCATTTTTGCTCAACATCTTATTTATCATAATTTAATGAGTTTAAATTTTAAAATTTATGTTTGTTCAATGTTCACAATGTAGATATCAAAAGTTAAACTCCTATAATTATAATAAATAGAAAGATGAACATCATCATCATTTGAGGATGATGAAAAAAATATTTACGCATGAAGTGAGCGATAATGGGATTAAGTGTTGGTTAGTGAACAACACATGGGGCACAGAATGGGGTGAAGAGGTCACGTGTTGGCCACCACGTCTTACAAATTTAGAGGAAAAATTAGTCTTTCCATTCCAATTTGGGCAATAGGAAGTTAAAAACATCTCATCTCAACACAAATTTGTGAAGTGAGAGACTTTTGGATTCAATCTCTCTTAAATTCGAGTAGAGAAAAAAAAAATCAATTTACAATGTCAAGTGCCACGCTTCGTCAACACATGACACTACTAAATAAAAAGTCAGATAAATTTGCATTGCAATGAAAAAAAAGGACCTTTTTTTTCTTTAAAAATGGGGAAAATAAGTGGCAAGCCACAGTTATCTACTTTTTTGGGGGGTTGGGAAGACTCACAAAGACATTTTAGCCTCCCCTGACCACAAGTGTGGCTTCCAGACTAGCAGCGAGTTTTGAACCCGAGACATCCACACATTTTTTGTAGTGGTTGATGGAAGCCTCGCAGTCCGCCCTTTAACACTGGGCCACCAGCTCGTGGTAAAAAAAAAAAAAAAAAGGACATTTCATAACATAAGACTTTGACCATGCAAAACGTAAACTGTATGTTTTCTTTTTAAGATTTTTATTCAAAATAGTATTTGAGATAGACATAATTCTTTACTTTGTTTTCTAAGATTTAAAATCAATAGAAGTGGTTATTGAGATTGTCTGCTGTCAATTATTTTGGTTATTTTGTGAGAAATCTCCGTCAAATTGAGGGAATTTTCGTCAAATCAACCACTCCTCTTGAATCGGTGGTTTCTTCAATTTAACAGAGATTTTTCACAGAACGATCAAAATGATTGACGGAGAACAATCTCAGATACCACTTCTATCGATTTTAAATCTCAATGATCATTGTTGGCTAAAAAATATTCTTTTTTCATTAAGAAATATTTATGATTTTTTTTTTTTTAGGAAGAAAGCACACAACGTTCACGTTGGTAGAAGTAGGGCTGGGTTCGGTTGGCAAACTGTGCAAAATTCCTTGTGTCACCTGCCAACCACATATACATAATTACTGAAAATCAGTTACCGCTAGCCAACTGTTTTCTTGAGGTTACCAAAAATCGGTTCAGCCAAAATTATTGGCTGGTTCGGTTGGTAAATGGCACAATCGGTGGTTTCCACTTCTTCCTCGATATCTTCCAGTTCCAAGGGCTCAATTTGATTTTCAGATTGGGGTGCTTGTTCGGTTGCATTGTGTGGTTCATTTTGGATTAATCCATGTTGTGCACTAGTTGTTGATTGGCTAGACTCCATCATCCTAAACATAAGCAACACATATACATTCAAAATCATATGTAAGTACGTGTATATATAGTATCAGTAATCATAACAATATTTTTCTATATTTATTATGGCATGAATCACATACATATACATATATTTTTTAAACCCTAAAACTAATGACTCATTTATTTTCTAAACCCTAAAACTGAGAGTCAAGCATGTAAAAAATACCTAAAATATCTAAATAGAAAAAATATATATATGTGTGTGTGTGTGTGTGTGTGTGTGTATTAGTAGGTATGACATACCGCCGGCATACAAAATCAATTACCAAACACATGTTATTAATTGTTAGTTTGGTAAAATACCAACCAATTATGAAAAAATACCAAAATTATATAATACCATTATGAGCCGACCTGTATGATCTGGTCGGTAAATCAGTTTATGACAAATTTCCCACCCAAGGCAGAAGGACTAGAAGGTTAGTACGAATTCCAATTTCTGTACAAAAAAGAACATTGTAACGGTGGTCACGGATGTCGGTCCTTTTATGCATGAGCTATTGACATTTAACAAATATGATGGTATCTATCATCACTGCTGACGTCAATATTTCGGGAACCGTTTCCAGCCACGACTTGCCGGTCGTCCACGTTAGGAAATATTCCTAAAAACTAGCATCACCATAATTAAGAAATACAATAAACGAAAAAAAAGGAAAAAAAAAAAACTCAATTTCTTGGAATTTAGTAAGTAGCATCTTACCATAGTATGGAAAAATATTGAACCCTTGCATAACAATATAAGTTCGAATCTGATCGGTAACTAATATAATAAAATTTATTGTTTGATAGAAAAAAATTTCTTGGAATTTAAGTTAAGAGTTTGAATATTAATATTGGAAATTTGGACAAGTGTAACTTACGGCCCATGAACGTGGGCTTCTTTCCGGCACTATACACTTTCCATTTTCCTCATAAAGTAATTCCACCCAAAAAATTAATAAATAAAAGAGCAAATCCAACGGCCATGATAAAAGCCAAGGGCTTTTCAACTGTGTGCCTACTCTGAAAATAGGATCAAATTGTGTTCGCACTGCACAACCCTACCGACCTACTATCTAAGATTCAAGAAAAATTCCGCATAAGAAAAATTATTTAGTGACAAAATAGTGATGTATAAACGGTTTTTAAATATTGAATAACTTTTTCAGCGATAAAAATAATATTTAAATGTCATCATTAAAAAGTTTTAGTGATTATTTTGTATTTTCTATCGTGATAAATTTAATTTTTAAAATTTTAATAAGCATAGTATAAATGAACGTGGCTTGACTTACTCACTCGATTCGGTATATGTGGAAGAAAAGAAATGAATTCAACTTTCAATTTTTATCCGGCCATTTTTGTGAGAATTAAAAGGGGGAAGTTCGTCTATATCAATCTTTCTGTGCATTCAACTTCAGATAAAAATTAAAAGTCGATATTCATTTTTCATTTTAGACATCAAACAAGATATTATTATGGAAAATAAGGACTATGTTCATTATTTAAAAGGAAATTTCAGAAACTTGCAATATATTTTTTAATTATGTTAGAAAGTTCTTTTGGCAAGTAACATTCAACAACGAAATCCGTTTACGGATCGATTGTCGTGGGGATTGAACAGTCGGCAGTGATCAACGGTCTAAGGTCCGCCACGTGGAAAATCCCGTTTACATGAAAGAACGTCAGAGATTAGACCAATGAGGAAGCACCAGTTGCCCTATAACTAGTTGACCAATCACCAAGCTCACAGAGCCTCATCGCATTCCTCTCACTTCTTCACCAGCAACATCCAAAGCGAAGAACAAGAATCGAAACCCGCGTTTTGCCTTATCGATCAGCTATCAATGGGGGCGAAGAACTTCAAGTACGTGATCCTCGGCGGCGGTGTCTCAGCTGTAAGTTTCTCTGCGATCGATTCTCGTCCGTTTGATCAATTTCTGTTAATTTCGTGCTTCCTCTAAGAATTCACCGCAAAACATGAATTTTTCAATATTTTTGGAATTTTTCTGTCGATCCTGATGAGGTTTGACATAGTTCTGGCGTTGAATTTTGAAGTATATACATAGATCTCGTATAATTATTTGAATTTCTTTTTATGATTTTTTAAATTTTGAGTACTTGATGTTGTTGAAGCCAATTCGATTCTGTTGTAGTTGTTTTAGTATATAATTATGCTAATTATTACAAATTAAGTCGTTTTGTAATTGTGATCAAGCTTTGTAAACTGTTTTATGTGATGATTTTTGCTATACGGTGGAAGCCTTGATCACTATTAGTGTTTTATATGTGTTTGGTTTCGAAATGTATAGGGATATGCAGCTCGGGAGTTTGCCAAACAGGGCCTTAAGCCAGGCGAACTAGCGGTCATTTCCAAAGAGGCGGTATGTGTTCAATTGATTGGTTTCAAGTGTTTGCATCCAGTTGACTGAATATTTGAGATATTTTTGTGCAAAGTTATAATTTTTTTGGGTATTAATGCAATTAGTTGTGAGTGTTGGGAACGAGACCAGAAAATGCGAATTGCGGTAGTGTCTGTCTACTCTACATCTAGTATGCATGAGTATTGATGACTGTTTGCTTAAGTGATGATTTGTGTTTAAAATATCGTTCTGGATTGAAGAATGACAATGACGGCTGTTCTTCCGGGTTGTTCCTTGTGATGAAAGTTGTACAAGACTCAGTTTCAGTGGAAATATTGACGTTCCAATTTGTGGAAATATTTATGGATATAATTGATAATGGTTGCCTTTGATGGAAAAAATAGAAATTTGCTAAAAAGCATGGAAATTTAAAATAAAACTTTCGGAACATCATGTGGCAGTTTGTCGATATTTAACCGATATATTGGAAATATCGACAAAACCTGTCAATTTTAGCTGAAATTTAAGTTCTCCAATACGGGGTGAAGTTTAGATTTCACCCCTCCATATCGTTTTCTGGTTTTTTGATATTTCTGTAAAATAGTGACCTTGTCAAAGAAATTTTAACCAGGTGATGATTTACTTTTCACATTAAACTTTGGTTAAGATACTTTTATTGTGCTATTCATGTTGATGCTCGTTGCTTGCTAACTGTATACTTTCTGTACTTCATATTATTACTACTGTTAAACGTTCATCATCCTCTAATGGCTGTAGAATTTATTTTTGTTTTATAACATAGTTAACTTCTTACATGTTCTTAAATTTTGTTTCATTTATTTCCAGGTTGCTCCCTATGAACGTCCTGCACTCAGCAAGGCTTATATCTTCCCCGAGTGTAAGTGGTGTTACTGTAATTCCAAATTTTTAGTGCTTAAAGTAAGCGGAATTGTCTTATGACCTCTAGATTCTTACTTACACAAGACACATTAACGAAGAGCAACCTCGTTTTTAAGTTCATCACATTCTCTGACATTGTAACTTACTGTTGGGATTGGTATTGCAGCTCCTGCTAGACTTCCTGGGTTTCATGTCTGCGTTGGAAGTGGAGGAGAGAGATTGCTTCCTGACTGGTACAAGGAGAAAGGTATGTTTGTCTTCTACACAGTACAGAACATACCAATTATGGTTGGAGATATCTTCCATTTCGGAGTCTTTTAGATTGCATTATTCTCAATCTTATGGAAGCATAATTTACAATTTCAGGGATAGAATTGATTCTCAACACTGAAATAGTTAAAGCCGATCTTCCTGGGAAGACTCTTGTCAGTGGATCTGGGGAATCCTTCAAGTACCAGACTCTCGTCATTGCCACTGGCTCATCTGTAAGCAACTCTGGGAATTTTTGATGCCTTAGCCTTGTATATCCAGCCCACTTGTATACATAATCAATGCTTTTTTTTTTTTTTTTTTTTGTAGGTTATAAGATTGACAGATTTTGGTGTCAAAGGAGCTGATGCCAAAAACATCTTCTATTTGAGAGAAATTGATGATGCCGATAAACTCTACGAAGCAATTAAGTCAAAAAAGAATGGGAAGGCTGTGATTGTTGGAGGAGGGTACATTGGTCTCGAGCTTGGTGCAGTTTTGAAAATTAACAATTTAGATGTTAAAATGGTCTACCCTGAACCATGGTGCAGTAAGTGAATATTGCGTCAAGCTTTGTTTCGTGTGTATATGCGTGTTGTGTGTGTAATACACTCATGACTTTGGCCACTCTTTCGATTTTATGTGCCTCATTTCCCTAATTTTTCCTAATTCTTGTAGTGCCTCGACTTTTCACTTCTGGTATTGCTGCTTTTTATGAGGGCTATTATCAAAACAAAGGAGTTAAAATCATCAAGGGAACAGTTGCGACTGGATTTACTGCTGACTCAAATGGAGAGGTAAATACAGTCGCTTGTTTTGGTAGTCATGATCCGATGAACTGTGCTTCCGAATTTTGACTTTTGTCATAATGTAGGTCAAGGAAGTGCACCTAAAGGATGGCACCGTGCTTGAAGCTGACATCGTTGTTGTTGGTGTTGGGGGCCGGCCCCTGACAACATTGTTCAAGGGACAAGTCGAAGAGGAGAAAGGCGGCATTAAGGTTATGCAACTTCCGAAATCACTTGATTCCTTCCCCTTTTCCCATATCTTTAATCATTCTTTATGATGCTTGGAGTTCTTAACAATATCAATCTTCATAGTCTTGATTGGTTAATCACACGGATAAGAGCTTGTTTTGACCACATATTAAGTAAACAATAACGAAAGAAAGGTTTAAGGATTTAATCACTTGAATTCTTTGTGAGTTTTAGAGATTATTTAACGTGTTAATCGTGTTTTCAATTTCAACATTTGATTAGTAATCCCATTTCTTTAGTTAATGTTTCATGGCATCCGTTTTAATATGTGCCGGTTGATTGCAGACGGATGCATTCTTCAAAACAAGTGTTCCGGATGTATATGCTGTTGGCGATGTCGCCACTTTTCCTTTGAAGTTGTACAATGAGATTAGAAGAGTTGAGCATGTCGATCATGCACGCAAATCTGCTGAGCAGGCTGTAAAGGCCATCAAGGCAAGCGAGGAGGGGAAGACAGTTGAGGAATACGACTACCTTCCATACTTCTATTCGCGCTCCTTCGATCTTTCATGGCAATTCTACGGTGACAATGTTGGTGAAACCGTGCTCTTTGGAGACAGTAATCCCGCGACACCAAAGGCGAAGTTTGGAACATACTGGATTAAAGACGGGAAGGTGATCGGAGCATTTCTGGAAGGCGGCACACCCGAGGAAAACCAGGCTATTGCCAAGGTTGCAAAGGCCCAACCTCCGGTTGCGAGTTTAGATCAGCTTGCTGCGGAAGGTCTCTCTTTCGCTTGTAAGATCTAAACCTTCATGTGGTTGGAAAAATAAATGGTTTTGTTGTTTGTGAGTGATAGCTTTTGCTTTGGTTTTCATCGGGTGGTTTCCATATTGTAATTTGGGATTTTAGTTGCATGAATTTCTTATCGTTCAAAGTTTACATAGGTTCTTGTTATTTGTAGTTGTTAAAAGAGTGTTAAGAATTTTTGACAAAAATAAAATACAATATATAACGAATGGTTATTGCATCGTCTTTTGCAATAAAGCCCGACATTTGTTGTACTATTGGGGGTGAATAGTAATTAGAGGGATGGTAAGTAAATTGAAGACAATATCGGTATTGATTAGTAGTAAGTGGCTTAAATTGGATTGAAATGACTTCGAAACCCATGTCTAAGAATGGGTTCAAAGTCTCCCCTACTACTTTGATATGGATCTGAAATTCATATTCAATCATGATAAACTTTGCGGCGCCATAATAGACACGAACATTCAATTAAATTGGACTTAAGATATCCGATTTGGTCCACCAAATAAGGCCTATCTGTTATGTATCTACATTCTTCAAATCCATCCCCTTACAAGTCTCTTGTTTATAACATGTTCATCTTGTTAATCACCACGAGATGACTTAGTGATTGAGACGAAGTCTTTATTTCATATGGTTTGTTCTACATTCGATTTTTTGGTGCTAGTGATTCATCCGGCCTGAGGAGAATAAAATGTCTCTGTAAGTTTTTTCAGCCCCCAAAAGGATGGAATGCCATGACTTTACCACCACCTAGTCTAAATTTGATTCAAAATCTAAATCCAAACAGCTTGTTTGCGTATATATATTTCTTTTGAACAGTTAGGATTTCACGGTCCACGAGCTCTTGTTTGCGTATATATATTTCTTTTGAACAATTAGGATCTCTCGGTCCACAAACTCCGGACATAAAAATCCGGAGAGGATTGATTCGACTTTCACAACCTTAACGTGTTTAGCATTTGAAAGGTTCGAATTTGTTGTGAGACAGAGATGATAGAGAATCCATCGTTAATAACTCTAAAAACTGATCAAAGAAATCATTTGGAGTAGGATTAACTTCTCTTGGCACCGAGTCCTGACGCCTAATACAGCTTCCAAGTCATAATATGCTATCAAACATTCGTAAATAAAATAAATTAAGCGACATAAACCATCAATTTGCAAGAGCAGTCAACAAATAAGATGATAAAAGCTAAAAGCCATTACGACAAAAATTCATAAACTTCGATAGAAATGATGATTCAAATCCACCACAATTGCATAAACCATAACGAACTACATATTTGATTGTAATCATGTCTTCTACTGGCTAAGATCCAAAAACCATACATTCCACTGAATAAAAATTCTATTTAACTCGAATAGCGAAAACCGGGATGTATGCACTCCAAACGCTCTAGTCAAAGAGACTGAAGCCCATGTCCTGCAGCAAGGAAAAAACGAGAAATATAAGAAAACTATACAATCGACGGATGCAAAATTGACTCATGTCTCCGGGAGTGTTTGGTGATACAATCCGAGTATGATGACTATTAGTAGCGGTCAAGAAATGTGCATCTGAATGTGCCAGAACTCAACGAAAGGCAAATGGCTATTGAATTGACATGACCATGCTAATTGAAGGTTGCTGTCATGCACATATACAACTGATGGAAGCTATTGAACATAAATACTTCTTAAGAAACAATGGCAACGGAATTGGATTAGCAGTCATGGAAGCACAAAAACCAATCTTAATGATATCCAGATAACTTACATCATCGGATTCCTCTTTCTCCTCGACCTTCTCCTCTTTCTTTGCTTCAGCTGCAGCAGGGGCAGCGGCAGCACCACCACCACCAGTTGCAGCAACTGCAACAGCACCACCTCCACCAGCTGGTACGGAGGCCAACTTTTCCCTTCCGGAGGCAATTAGCTCTGTGATGTCCTTACCCTTGACTTCGGAAAGCAGAAGTTGAATCCTGTCATCATCAGCCTCGGCTCCAACTGCAAAAATAGCAAGTTTTCAGACTCAATAATTAATATAACCTTGACCTTGTACAAACACCATACTATGATCCCTAATGTTAACATCCAAGTAGAAGGCATGGACAACATATTCATTCAATAACTCAAATACAATTATTAAATTACTGTCCTCAAGTCTCCTTTGGTCTCTAGGATTGGATTGGAATGGATAACCCGCTTTATTATCATTCATTTCTACCTTCAATATACATTTAACTTAGGTGTTAAAAAATCCAATCCAATCCAATCCTAGAGACCAAATGAGGCCGAGAAGCCATCAAAGACGGAGAATCATATGCAGCCAAACAGAAAATTTTGGGAAATATGGGTATCATAACAGACATTCAATTGATTCTTCTTAACACCAAAAAAAAAAAAAAAAAAAAATTGATATAAGCCAGTGGTACATACAGTAATGCTGAAAGGCAATCATTATCGTCACAATTCAACACTGAACGATAACATATCCCGAAAAACCAAATTCCTTGTCATTTCCAAACATTCATATTTACAAAAGATTAAGTGGACCCATTACAACTAGAAACTCATATTATAAGGGTCGAAACCCTAAACCCACATAGAAAATACGAATACAAAAATGGGATTTACAAATCAAAATTCAACATCGCACTACAAACCACAAAGCCACAATCTTTGACGCAGGTAATAATTAGGGTTCTAAACAGAACGAGCAAAAAAATCACAGAAAGGTACAAGGAATATTACCGGAGCCAAGGATGTCCTTGATATCTTCGGCAGTAGGGGTGGTCTTGCCGCCCAACACAGCCAACAAGTATGCAGCGACCACCTTCATCTCTGCCAGTCAAACACAAATTTAATCAGTAACAATGGCTATTAGTCTCTCAAATCCACATACAGCGAGAGAAAGAGAGGGAAAGAGAGAGAGAGAGAGAGAGAGAGAGAGAGAGAGAGAGAGAGAGTACTTGAGAGGGCTATGGATCTGCGGATTACGGAGAGAAAGGGTAATTTGCAGCCGAATGCGAAATGAAGCAAGGAGGACTGCCGAATGAGGTTTTATGCAGAGCTGGTGCTAGGGTTTGGATCGGATTGCAACACTTAGCCGACCCGGGTTTGGGCCGGATTTATTAACTGTTGACCCATTCTAGGTCCTTTTTTTAAAGTTATAAACCCAATATCTTTTATTATTATTATTATTATTTTTTATCAAGCTAAATTACTTCCATTAAATAAAAAAGCAAGTACAAGAAAAAAGGGAGCCCAAAGGATAGCCCACTACCTAAATACAAGCCCAATAGCAAAAAAAGAAAATACAAGAGATAGGCCCAAAAGTGGCTAGCTGAACAACAACAAAAAAAACCCTAAGACTGAAATGGAACCAGTAGTCACCAGATGTGCCTCCATCGCAAGGCCACCACCAGCACCAAGAGAACGAACCAATAGAACAAATGGATCAACGAAAAATGGGGTGAGCAAGCCACCCGCGCAGTAAGCGCTCCTATAATCCTACCAAATAGTGCTAAAAGCACTTTGACATCCACCCAACACCCAAGAATAAGCACACGAGCCGAGTAGCAGAGGTCGGTGGTTGAGGATGCACGACGAAAAGTAGCACCAGAGTGGGAAAGGGCCATGAAGGTTTGGATTTGAGACTAGCTCATGGGAATTGAAACAGAGTTCATAGAACAAGGCTCAAGGGAAGCCAAATCAAAGAACAAAAGAGAAAAAGTTCAAAAATTAAAAAAAAAAAAAAACTTTTGAGTGGAAGGAAGGAAGGAAAGGGGAAGGATGAAGAAAAGTAGGAGGAGAAAAGAAGATGCAAAGAGTGGAGGTGGATGGGAAAGGGGGAAGAAAAGCTAGAAAAAGGTGGGAGAAGGGGAAGAGGGAAGATGCAAAGGGTGAAGAAGGAAGAGAAAGATGAAAGGAAGGCTAGAAAGAGGGGGAGTCGGGTTGCCGCCGACCCCAAGCCGGAGCAGCGGCTAGGAGGGTTTCTTTTAGCTTAAAGGCAGTAGGAAAGAAAGGTTAGAGAGAGGAAAGAGACGAGTTGAAGTTTTTAATTAATACATAAACCCAATATCTATATGCAGACATAACTCATCAAAACTATAAAATAAAAATTAATGTACATGCATTAAATTGTTATTGAAAGAAATATAGAAAGGTCTTACTTCAAAGGAAGTGAGTAAAGTATTTGTCATCTGTGTAAAATCGATTAGTAGTCAAGATGGATCATACTTGAATCTAGATTGATTGAATTCAAGTGATACATTTTGGTAATAGAAAAATGACGTAATGATGAATGGTTCAGATTATAAGATTACATTTATGGTGAGTCTTGATTCATATTTTAGTGTGGATATGTCTTGAATTTTGTAATAATGTAGAAGGGAAGGAGGGAATTGAAACGAAGGATATCTTCAAATATTAAGTGAACAAATATCCCCACATATATTTTTATGGTTGTATTACTAGTCCAATAACTTGTTGACTTTATAGTGTAGATTTGACTTTGTCTTAAATTAGTTGCGCTAAAGTTTTGGTTTGTAATGTCATTTAGTATTCTGATCTTGTGATATTCTGTTTACTTGTAACTGAGATTTTTAACGTTGGATTATTGCCGAAGGTGAATTTGAACCAAATTATTATGACTAGTCTATTGTGAGAGTTAACTCACTCACCCTCCCCTTAATGTAAATAGTATTGTATGTATTACAAAAAGTTTTGGTTTGTAAACAAATTTATTCACTCAATCCTTTAATATAAATGTATCGTTGTATAAAAAAAAGTTCTGGTATAATTGTTTTTCCCCTTTTCATACTTGATTTGTAAACAGTTAGTTTAGTTAATAGCCGTTTGCATTGGAAATCTCGAGTTTCTTTAAAATTTAAATATTATTATTATAAATGTATAAAAAGAGAGTTTTGGCCTTCCAAGTTTAAAAACCTACAGAGTGGGCCATATATCCCATTTGGTACTGCTTAACTGTTTTTATATGCTTCTAGGTAGTGTAGCCCCTACTCCTTTAAATTTAAGAGTTTTAACGAAAAACTTACGGTACTGTTCATTTTAACGAAAAAAACATTTTTATACTAAAACATCAATTCACTTTATCTTTTATTTTGTCCTTATTATTAAAATTCAAAATTTTCAAGCTTTTTTTATTAGTTTTCCTTTTAAATTTATTTTGTACCAAAATGAAGATGAAGAATCAAACGAAATTCAGTTTATTTCCTTATGAAGACGAAGATGAAGACGAAGATTACTAGCTGTAATAGCTATAATCGGTTCACTTGGTGGAGTCGAGCTGCCATGGCGGTTTTCTGTTCTAGCCAATAGCAGAGGTTCGATTTTGGTGCCCAATAATTTCAAAACCATCATTTTTTTAATAAATCACATATCTTCATTTATTATTTCTTAATCTTTTTGGGTTGACTGATCTAATTCGTTTCATTGGGATTTCAAAATTCTTCCCTTTATTTTTCATGGTATTCTGGGAATTTGTCATGTCCTCTAATTGTTTGCCAAGAAAATTATGTGACAGTGAAAATCTGAAATTTTCGCTATTAGTTCAAGATCAAAGAAAAAACAAGCATTAGAGATTGCATTTACAAGCTTTGTTTTGACAAAGGGCTTTAAAGTGTCGTGGAATTTAAGCTAAATTTTTTAGGGACTTAAAAATGACTGAATGCAAGATATTTGTCTGAATTTCTAAATGGTGGCATTTCAAAAATCTTTGCAATGCACAGCATTTTAGTGTAGCATTTTATGAAGTCTCTCGTCCAAACATAACACGAGGGTCCTGTTGCGCTTTGGCCAATTAGTGCGGAACCGAGATTTAGAGTACAACCTCATCAAATCACAACTCCACAGTTGAACAGAATAAAATACAAGAAATAAAGATACCAAGAAATTTACGAGGTTCGGCAAAAATCTACCTATGTCTCTGGAGAGATATTGCTCTTCATTATGAAAATAACAGTACAAGTTACACATAAATTAAATACCCAATTCCGAATTCCTCGTACACCCACTCACAAAATTTTCTTATAAGCCTCACTCCACCCAAGAGTTCTTCCCAGAGACCTTGCACTCTTGATTTCTCTCAACCCTGCCCATGGGAGAGCCAAATGCTATCACCATCTATTTGGATGCTTCTCATCAGCCTGCACTCTCACTCGGCAAGTATATCCCAAGACATCACCTTTCATCCAATAGCTTCTATAGCTAAATGCTCCCAAAGTTAAAAAAGCAAAAAACACAAGCTTACTCTTACTTTTCTTTTGTAGCACTCCACATGATTTGTATCCTTCAATGCAGTCCACCAAAAGCAAACACACGGTTCAATTGTTGCCATATTATATGGGCCAATCACAACAGGTCAGGAATCTGGACACCCTCATCCCATTTGAAAAAGCATTAGGTATTTAGGTTTCTTGAAGAACCCTTAATCATCAAGTATGTCAAGTGAGGGAAAGGATAATGAAACCATCAAATTTTCCCAGCGTGTATTGATGTAAAGCTGGAAGAATATTTATTGAAAACACACCAAATACAGGACTAGTTGAAACTTTCATTTCGAAAAACAGGGGAAATACAAAGCAAACAGAAATAAACGAGTGACGGTTGGATACGGTTTCAACTCGCACTCAGTCAGGCCAAACTCATATTGCAAGAAGTAGAAATCCCTAAACAAACTTACGACATAAGTATAAGATCTCATCTGCCGGTAACCGGAATCTGGAGAAGGGCCAACATGCATCAACATTAATCTTTTGACTATTTTTTTTGAAGGTAGCTCAAGATGGCCATAATCGTTTGGATCCCAGCAAGAAGAAGAACGGTGAAGGCAGTTAAAACTGTAATGAAGGACCATGGCCTGCTAAAATATGTTCGCATGAAAGTTGCCCAATGGCTGCTGTAATAGGCCTCTACATCTCTGAATTGCTCGGAGAGGTAGCATTCCCTTATGTTGAAAACAACATTTTCCCCTAACTTTGTGAACATCTCAGCCACGTATTGATCGTTCAGTGAGAAGCCGGTGATTATCCCATCAGCACAGAGGAGCCTGACGTCCCTAGTTGAATTGATGAGACAGCTCATGAAGGCAATATAAGCGGTGAAGTGCTGTCTCTGAGATGTGTACTGGTGGCATCGTTCGAAGGCCATGCAATTGATGAAGACAACAATGGCGAGGTCATTGATGGTTATAGGTGGAATTCGGAGTACCCCATTTCGGAAGTCAATATCTAAGAAGCTCTCTGCATCTCTTCGAGGCGTAAACTTGATACCGGAGGGTCTTAGTTGTGTGGTACATTGGATTGACTCAGAAGATGGACGGTACTTGTGATTAGAGTCACGATCATTATCATATGGAGTTCTTGAGAAAGGTAGAAACCTAGAGAAGTAAATAAATAGTTTGGCAGGGAGTAGGGCCGCTTGACGTAGTACCTGTAACGTACGTTGCAATTTTGACTTCGGGGCATATTTGGAAGTTATCATCATATCAGATTGGAGAAGGAAGCTTAAGTGAAACAAGTGAAGCAAGTGCTTGGCCTCCCCTGGCTCGATTATCATTTTAAGGACTTCGCTAGGCCTAGGCAATGAATGATTGAAGAACTCAAGCGCAAGATTGCGTAGAGGTTGTTTAGTCCGCAAGAATGAGATCTCAAATAGTTTTTCAAGGACGAAGAAAGGGAGTTGGTTTTGAAGCTTGAGGAGGTCTCTCGTAACAATTGGAATCAACCCTGGCCTTCTTAAGATGGGTTGACCAACGTCGGAGGCCTTACTCATCTGTAGAAAAAGCTCGATGATAAAGCAACCGTCAAGCACCATCATTCGAACAAAGTCAGGGCTTGACATGGATATCACCTCAGAATAGCAGCTTCTTGTGCTCTCCTCCAACGATAGCATTGCCTTGTAGTATTCGCCCAGCAGATCATGCCCTCCATTCCTTTTTCGGCAAAGAAGCGATTCAAGAAACTGCAATTTGTAACTTTCAAATTCCAGTAACTTCTCCTTGTCGCGGTGGTGAGGTCCAATGGAGACAATCTCAGGCTCAATGGCTTCTGGACAGATTCCAGTGAGGCTGGGAGGAACTCTGTCTATGCACTGTGTGCTCGTACTGTCTGTTGTCTCAACTTCTCTTTTCTGCTCCTCTAGACTCCTTCGCATTGCAGCTTCAGATTCTTTATAAGCATTCGCCTCTAATTCTTCTTCGCTAATACTCGACTCTAACACTCTGATGACATGATGCTCTCTATCCCCCATTCTCTCTCTTTCTCTCTCTCTCTCTCTCTTCAATCTAGTAGATAGAATGTTTGCATCAGTTTATACTTTATATAGAAAGATCCCTCAACCTCAACCTATCAAAAATTATCAAGGAAAGTTCTCATGCTGTTTTGACCAGTGGAAATTTCGTAGAAACCCCAGTTGTCACTCATGTTTCAATCTTTCCCCGGATTTCTTGGAAAGTTACAAATGACTCTTGGCAATGACAGGTATCAAGGCCCACGGATACAATTACGGAATACTTCTTCTTGTTTGATGAGGATTCTCTCCAGATCCTCTTTGTGAAGATCTGGAAGATTAATTTTTCGTGTTCGTTTATCATAGATCATACAGTCAGACACAAATCTTGAGTGAATCTCAATCCGGTCCAAATATGACATGGCTCAGCATCTGATCGATTTGGCAGTATTAGAGAAGACGTTTTCAGGCTCTTTGCATTATATATACATGTACAGATGCTAGCTATCCCGTGCTTAATCATTTTTTGGTATAAGGTTCATCTCTATGTATTAATAGGGAAATTAATATATACTAACACCCTAAATAAACTGAAATATCGTTCATTGAATAGTGTTCTACCGGTTTTGCCCCTGTTAAATTGTGTTATCACATTTTTTGCCACATTTCTTTTGACCTTCTGCTCCACAGGGCAAACAGAAGCAACAGCTCTGTCTTACCTTGGACGAGGACGAAGGAAGACGCCACCAACCACCAGTCCTGTCTTAATAGGGAAAAATTCTCTTATTACATTATGAATTTTGTGATTATAGATTAAGATGCTTATGTTTCCATTGCGTTGTGTTATTTAATCAATCTGATAACGTAAACATGTTTCTAACAACGTAAGTTTCATAAGTATAAACGTTACTTCTGCCTACAAGGAATTATGGAAACATTTTCCTTTGTGTTTCCCCTTCTACCTTCTCATATATCAATTTCATCTTAATTGCAAAGTGATTGGATAATAAAACATCCTATATATTCTAGGCCATTCTTTAAACGTAATTATGCAAAAACTAGACCACACTAGAATATGTTTAGTCATATAGTTAGTTACTAATCAAAACCTTAAACCAAATCAAACCATAAATAAAGAATGAAAATCGTGTAACAGCGAGTCAAACTGAACGATCGCGAACAATCATATCCACCGATATACGCATGCATGTACAGATACAACCATACAACAGTGTATATTATGAAGTGGAGCCATCCATCTCACATGGTACATATGCCAACTTCACTCCTTGGCCGGCCGAAAGGGATGGTGGTGGGTGCTCGTATTGTCCCCTCCTCAGTCCCCAATTTAAGCAGTGAACATGGGAAGCCATGATCAGCATATAAAGTGCCCAATTAATTTGGTAATCCCAAGTCCTTAGGCACCTAAAGTCAAGTCATCAAATCTTTTTATGATCAGCATATAAAGTGCCCAATTAATTTCGTAATCCCAAGTCCTTAGGCACCTAAAGTCAAGTCATCAAATCTTTTTTTGTAAGTGGTATGTTTTTTCACTTGTAAGTAAGAGGTTTTAGGTTTGATTCTCGAAATACGTGAATTTGAATCACATTATTGCTAACTCATTGTGAGGTTAAGCCCCCCATCTCTCCCTTAGTGTAGATAATATCGTTTGTTAAAAATAAAAAAAACCAACGAGTCACACACTAAACATAGCAATTATATCAAATGATTAATCAATTTTTTGTTCAACCTTATAAAATTCTTCTTTTCTTTTTATTTAACAGAAAAAGAATGAAAGAGTGTGCCATTTTTGGTTTTATCACCATATATAACTAAATATAAGTCAAGTAAGTTCTTGACTTTAAGGCAAAGAAAGAATCTAAGTTGACCCACTCTCATTTAGTGACACAATCATTTTAGTTCAAAGTCAGTTAAGCGCAATCTTCATCACTCAAATCTCATTTATTAACAGTAACTAGTAAACTAGTAGTGACACGTTCGCAAATTGCAATCACCAAAATCGCGTTCAAGTAAATTCCTAGCCTATATGCAAGGCCAATGGCAAATTTAGGGGGCAAAAAGAAATGTTTGTGTCAGTTTATATACAAGGGATCCCTTAACCCATCAAATCTCGATTTATGTGTGTCATCCTTGCGCAGGGATCATGCTAATCTTCTCTGTATCATTCCAATTTTATCGGACGTCTCCGAAGGGACGTCCCTTAATCTATCAAGATTATCAAGGAAAGTTCACATACTGTTTCGATCAGTGGAAAATTAGTTGAAACCCCAGTTGTCACTCCTGTCTCAATCAATCTTTCCCCGGAGTTTCAGGGAAAGTTACAAATGACTCTTGGCAAGGACAGGTTTCATGGTCCACGGAGACCATTACGTAATACTTCTCTTTCTTGTTCTTGTTGAATGCTAACTTACTGAGGATATTATTGTTGAGGTACTTACACTGGAGCTCGGAGCTCGACAATGGTGGTTTAGAGAGAGAAATTATGGCACAGAATCTAGAGAGAGAGAATACAATTCCTTGGATCAAAAGGTCTTTTGCCAGGTTAAAATGGGGCTAAGGGTTATTGGCTATTAAAAGATAGGATATGAAATTCAAATTTTTTGAGAAAGTATACATTAGAAGAGCAAGCCAAAAACAGTAGCACCCCATCCCAATTTTGACTGGAAATATGAACTTTACATCACAAGCTATCCCTCCACTTATCTACTCAAGCTTTTTATGTTTGATAACAATGAAATTTAAGAATAGAAGTATGCTTGTACAGAACACATTGCAACATCTTAGCACTCCAATTTTCTTTTTCTTTTTTCATTCTTGCTTACATCGCCCATCATTTTCACATTCAATGTAGTACACACTCTCCATCCAATTCCTATATATATAAACAAAACCCCAAAAACATAACCTCTGTAATATTTTCTCAAAACAATAAAGGATTGGTATATGCATAAAGGCTCAACTCCAATATCGGAGCATGGTAGGGAGAAGTGGCTAACAAAGAAACGGCTTATTTTAAGGCTCAAAGGGCTACTAGCGATAAAATTAGCATATAAGGTAGGCATGAAAGGCTCAAACGATGCACAAATGGCCTATATCCTTTCCAAGTTATTATATGAATTGATGAATGAATCGAGAGGTATAAAGCAAGTTCTAGAGATTCATATAAGAATGAGATCATACGCACAAGAATAAATGTGATTGATGCATGGTAGTTCAATCATATTAGGCTCAAAAACTCACAAGGTTCACATTTGGTCACTAAATTCACATATGAAGCATTAAATCATGCTAGTTTCACATCAATAAGGCTATGTGCATTTGTGTTTCAAGGATGATTGGACTTGTACAAACTAACAAGAGAATAAGGAAATTCACCTAAAACATGCTTACTAATTTCTCGATCACCATGTTTCAAATTCAACCAATCATATATTGGGTCGGGAAACTAACAAAAAACTAATTCAAAACAATAAAGAAAATAGGAAAATGTTTTTGAATTTTGAATTTTTCTGATTTCTTTTTCAAATTTTCTGATTTTTAGTGTTTTTAAATACTAAGAACAAAGAAAACTAAAGTGATAAAACAAACTGACTCAAAATTGGCAAAGCAACATAAAGACAACGCAATCCAATTCTTGTTGAAAGATTTGAAAATTTTCTGATTTATCTTCTTTTTTTTTCTTCTTCATCCTCACCCCCCAACTTAAATTGGACATTGTCCCTAATGTCTTTCAACACATGAGATAGAGAAAAGAAAATGACATGAACAAGGAAAAGCATTGGGAGTAAGACACTTCCCTAGTTAATGCACCACATGGCAGCCATTGTGTTCCAACTCGTAAATGCAATTTCCAACGAAATCACCACCCCCAAACTTCGATGTTTCAGAGTTCTAACTTGTATTGGATGACAACCACATGAACCTACAAAAACAAAGGGTAAAAGGAAAGGATCAGTAGCCAAGCAAGAGAGACAAAATTCAAACCTAAATAAAATGAAAGAAAATAAAAGGAAACAAAGGAAAAATAAAGGAAAAGAAAATTGGGGTTGCCTCCCAAAAATGCTAAATTTATAGTCTTCAGCCGAACTACAGAACGGTTTAAGCAAGATCAATGAGAAGAGGTGCATAATTGATGGCATTGGATTTGACATCCACATTCACCTCCTTGTTTAGAAAATTGACTTCAAAACACTCTGCCTCATTCGAACACTTAATAGCTTCAAAAACTTTAAACACCACATGCTCTCCTTGTACTCGCAATGTGACTAGGTCCTTTCGAACTTCAATTACAGTATCTGCAGTGGCCAAGAATGGCCTGCCTAGGATAATCGGGATTTCACGATCTTCTTCCATATCAAGAACCACAAAATCTACAGGGAGAATTAACTTGTCAACCCGAACCAACACATCTTTAATAATTCATCTTGGGTATGTGATAGACCGATCCGCAAGTTGCAAACAAACCGATGTTGGTTTCATCTCTCCCAAACCTAAGTGTTTAACGAAAGAGAAAGACATTAGATTAATATTTGCACCCAGATCACATAAAGATTTATCAAAATAAGTATTTCCAATTGTGCAAGGAATAGTGAAACTCCCTGGATCTTTCAACTCAGGTGGCAATTTCTTTTGTAGCACCACACAACATTCTTCAGATAACATCACCGTCTCATGCTTAGCGAATCTCTTCTTCTTGGTGCACACGTCCTTAAAAATTTTTGCATACCTCAGGATTTGTTTCACTGCATCAAGCAAAGGAATGTTAATATTCACTCTTTTAAACAATTCAAAAATGTCAGAAAAGTGTTGATCTTTCTTAGCCTTTTGTAACCGTTGAGGATACGAAATAGGTGGAGAAACTTTTTTCTTGTGTACTTGCTCTTCCTCTTGTGGTTTAGTGATGCTAGTTACCAACTTTTCAACCGGGTCCACTTTTCCTTCACTCTTTTTCTCTAAAATTTTCCCACTACGGAGTGTGATGGCCTTGACTTGCTCTTGGTTTTTGGGATTGATCTCAGTTTGACTTGGAAATTTGCCCTTCTCTCTCTCAACCATCGCATTGGCACTTTGACCAACTTGCTCCTCTAGCTTGCGCATGGATGCTTGCTGATTTTGTAGAGAAGTCTGAGTTGCTTGCATGAAATTGTTGGTGTTCTGAGCAAGAGTGTTGGTAGTTTGAGCCAACTGAGCCATCATATCTTCCATGGAATTCTTTTTGGCTTCATGGTTTTGGAATGGTATAAATGGGTTCACGTGATTCTGTTGATTGTTCTTCCAAGCAAAATTTGGATGATGACGCCAACTAGGATTATATTTGTCTGAAAATGGATCAAACTGTTGGTGGTTGAAGTTGTTTACTTGATTGGCTTGCTCTTGAATAAACTCCGGAAAGAACTGCTTATAGGACAATCTATACTTGAATGTATACTTGCACACATTTCACAAACAACATAAAATGATTTCACAGATTTAATAGTCATCAAATTATCAAACTTTTTATTTAAACTAGAAATTTGTGCAGCCATAGCTGACATGGTGTCAATCTCATGTACTCCAGCCTTCTTCGGTAATTTTCTATCTATACCCCAACTTTGAGAATTAGCGGACAATGTATTGAATATTGCAGAAGCTTCATCAACGGTCTTTGTCATTAGAGCACCCCCACTAGCAGCATTTGTCATCCTCTTGTTATCAATGCTTAAACCTTGATAGAAATTATGAAGTTGTAGCCATTCTGGTAGACCATGGTGTAGGCACTTCAACAACAAATCTCTAAATCGCTCCCAACTCTCATAAAAAGGCTTACATGGAATTGAGCAAAAGTCATTATGTCATTCCTCAACTTAGCAGTCTTGGAAGGAGGGAACAATTTTTGCAAAAATTTGCTTGCCAAGTCATTCCAAGTTGTGATCGAGTTGGGTGGAAGGAATTGGAGCCAAGTCTCCACCTTGTCTTTCAGTGAGAACTGGAACAAACATAATCTAATGGCTTCATCCGTCATATTATGGATCTTGAGAGTGTCACATATCTCAAGAAACTCATTGATATGCAAATTGGGATCTTCGGTTAACAAGCCATAAAATGACAGCATCATTTGAATAAATGATGGCTTCAACTCAAAGTTGTTAGCAGCAATTTGCGGACGAACGATGCATGAAGGAGAGGTTGTCATCGTAGGAGCGGAATACTCCATCAACATTTGGTTCTCCTTCGGATTAGGGAGAGCCATTTTCTCAGTTGGTCCTTGTGGCTTTGTGTGCGTTCTCCATAGGTGTCGAAAGGTTCTCTCAATTTCTGAATCGTACAGTACAAGCTCTAAACTTCGAGAACAGCGACCGTGCAGAAACTTCAGAAAGTACCTGAAAAGAAAAGAAAGCAAAAACAAAAATTAAAATCAACACAAATAACAATAAAAATAAGCTAGAAATAGAACTAATTCAATCCCTGTCGACCGCGCCAAAAATTTGTTGCCAAAATTAGATTAACCGAAATCAACCCAATTAAGTCCAAATTTTAATGCTCGCAAGTGTACGAATTGTAAAGTAATATAGTAGGCAAGCACAAGATCATTCCAACTAAGATTGAAATAATTCTAATTATCTAACTTAATTTGTATTGCACTTGAATTGAAATGGAAAAATTGATGATTTGAGAAAGAACTTTGAAATTGTCAACGTAAACAAAAATCAAATGAGCTTAAATAAATGACAAAAACAACAAAGAAATCAAATTATAAATCAATTGCGAAAGACACTACAGCATCCGATTCACCATAACCAATCCAACTCAATTCCTACAGTTAATTATTAATGAGTAATCACCCAAATTGACAGTCTAGTTCCTCTAATTCATATAGTATCCATGGCATCTAGATTACTATGTATACTCATATGTGGTAACAATCTATGGCATCTAGATTACTAAACACACATGAGTTTATTAATGATTTGAGAACTACTTAAGAGACCGCATGAAACCTAGTGTATGACATCTACATTAAGGAATTCATGGTACCATTTGCAAGACGCTAAAACCAAATTAACAACATGACATCTGCGTTAACTCGCATCACATACACTAAGCTCAAACCAAAGTGGTGGCCAATTACCAAGATTAAAATAAAGCTCATAAGCACAGCAAAATGATACTCAAAATGAATGAAACTTCATAAATAATTAAACTAAGAAATTAAAAATTCATAGTTAGGCTACATCGTAGCCCTAGCAAAAAGAAATTAGTTCCGGAACATAATCGGAAATATTATTGAATTCATAAAATTAAAAGAAAAATAAGTTTAGAAAAGCCTGAAAATCTCTTGCTTTGCCGCTGCCTTCTTCCCCTTGATCTCTACTTGCCACAACCTTTTTCTCCTGCTTGTTCAACCTTCCCTTTTTGCTTCATTCATTTTTCGTAACCGAACATTTATAGCCCATTTATCGTGGACAATAAAAGAGAAAACAAAAGGATGAAACTTCTTGCCAGCCACTGTGTATGATTAAACACCTCCATTGATTTCTCAATTTAATAACGCCTCCACTCCACTTTTTGCCTTCTTCAGTTATATGCACAGTCAAACTCCTCACCAATCAAACAAACTGAGCAGCCATATATCCAAATTTATGATCTTCTCGAAGACCCACGCATTGGCAGCTGATTTCAGTAGATGGCTTTCTTTTAATTTGGTGCGACTAACCCTTGGGAGAAACAAATACAACCCCTTTTATTTCTTCTATCCGTACAATTGAAAAGATAATGGCACATGCTTTACTTTGTCATCTGCATAACATTTAAATGAAATAGATGTATTATTATGAAACCCAAAAAGAAAAGCATATGATCATCTTAAATATGCTAGAAGCACACATGGTCAATTTACTTAAACAAAATATTGGGAAAGAATCATACTTGACCCATTTAATTCCATAATAACCAATGAGATCCAATATAGTTTTTTTTCATCTTGTTAATCTAGCTAGAGAACACAAAACCATGTAATTCCTCTCATTTAAATCAAATATATCGTAAGAAAATGTAACTTTCGGGGTAAAATAAGTAGTAAAATAGGTGCTCAACAATATTTATATATATATATATATATATATATATATATATATATATATAGATCTTAGTTGTGTCTGTATGTCATTTTTTTTCTTTTCTTATTGTTTTCCTCATATTTCAGGACAACGTCTAGTTTGACAATTTTAGTGAACTATGGTGGGAGGTTGGCTGACTCAATGTACAAAAATTGCAAAACGAAAGGATTACTTGTTTCAGATAAAATTACATTTGTGGAGCTTCAGAAGAAGGTACATGGTATTGTGAATGTAGACCCAAATGAGTATGAGATAAGTATGAAAGTCATAAATAATGCAATGGAAACTATATGGCCTGCAGATATAGTTGATGATGATGATGTGAGAACATTTATTTTTAAAAACCTTTCAAGGTCTTGAGGGATTCTCTTGTGTGTTAAATTAAAGCAGAAAGTATTTTCTTTAGAAGATAATGATGACCCATCACAAACAGGTCTTAACTTTGTTACTCAACAAGGTGATGAAGATAATGTCTTACATGATTCAAATAACGGCTTGGTAAATCAAGAAGTTAAAGAATGCATCGTATCATGAAGAATTTGAGAATATGCCACATATGGAGTTGATTTTGTGACGGCTAGCACGCATTGATTTCGGTCAGGGTGTGTCAGATAATGTGTTCCAGGATAATGTTGAATTCAATGAGTTGCCACATGCATGGACGACAATAAATAAATGTATCCTCTAGCATTTGGAGTTGGGAAATTTAGAGAATGACGTATTATGGAAATGGTTTTTGACAAAATTACGAGGAGCAATTGGGTAAATTGATGACTTGGTGTTTGTTTCTGATAGACATGAAAGCATTCGGAAGGCTCTTTCAACTGTTTTCCCCAATGCCCATCATGGTGCATGCATATTTCATTTAAGTCAAAACATTAGGCTCTCCCAACTATTTTCCCATATCTTATGTAACTTCAATGTAATTGCCGCTATGGTTTTGTATAAATTGCGTTTGTAATTTTATGCAGCAGTTCAGGGTATTCATCCACTTCTCTTACAGATCACTATTTGCAAATTGCTTTTGTAGTTCTTATGCGGATTTTTTATTTTATTTTTATTGTTTAGTTCTTCTTTTGTTTGAGTAATATTATATATGTGAACATGCAGGTATCGTCCATCATAACTTACTCATTTCATGTATACGATGGATCTCGTATTGAAGTTGTGAATTTAAGGGAAAAGAGTTGCACATGCTGACAATTTGATCTTGACCAACTCTCTTGCTTACATGCTTGTGCTGCATGTAGACACCAACAATTTTCATGTTATTCTATGTATTCTCATTATTATACTACAAACTCCTTGGTCATTGCCTATGCAGAAGCCATATGACCAGGTCATAGCATGAAAATCTTCGAGAACCTTTTCCTTGGTTAGTGGCCAAAACATCAAATGTCTCACAACTAGCCAAGGAGAAAGTTCTCGAAGATTTTCATGCTATGACATTTTTGGTTTTAACCTCAAATTCTCATGTTTTCAAAATATTGAGAATAGACTATTCCATCATATTTCCCCAGCAACCTTAGGTGGTGTACGGCATGAGGTCCGCTCTGGATCTCCCTGTGTCTAGAATTCGCAAACTGAAAAATTTGAACTGTTTCAGAGAGAGATCCAGATTGTTCAAGTTTTTGAGTTTTTATGAAGTTGGCTAGTGAGATGAGCTAATGGGATCGTAGGATTGAAATTAAGTCATCTATATCTCTCCATCCGCGGGCTCCAGATATAGAGATTAACAAGTGGTGTACATGAAAGGTCAAAGAAGCAAACATTGGCCAAGCCAGTCAGGTGTATCAAGCATGCTGCTAGGATTTAAGTTTATATTTCATACGACAATTATTGGGTAAAGTACAAAAAACTACCTCAACTATTGGTGTCACGATACTTTGATACCGCATCTTTTTAAAATGACAATATTATACCTCATCTTACGAATTTGTGCCAATGTCATACATCCGTCAGTTTTTCTATTAATTTTTCTGTTAAGTGCTGACGTGACTAGATACTGGGGCCACTCACTAATCCAACTAGATTAAAATATAATTAAATATATTTTTTAATAATTAAAAATTAAAAAATTAAAAAAAATTATATAAAATTGTGGATCCACCCTCTCTCGCCTCTCTCTCTCTCTGGACACCCACTTGCATCCCCAAAACCTTCCCACCCTTCCCACGCATCCCCCCCCCCAACCTTCCTCCCCCTCACCCTTTCTTCCCCCCGCTCCCATTTTCTCTACGCAACCTCTCCCTCCAAAAACTCTCCCATCTAGAGCCCATCGACCTCTCCGTCTCCCACCTCTGCTTCGCCACTCTCCAGCCCCACCGCCCCTCCCTCTTAATCACCTGCCTCACCGTCAACCACAACCTCCTCTACGCCGCATCAGGCCACGAGAAAAGCCTCTGAATCTCTGCTGCGTCGAGCTTGAAGATTTGGCGGGACTTGGATCTCCGCTGCATCGAGTCGGTCAAGGCGCATAAGGACTCCGTGAATGCGTTGGCAGTGTCGAACGACAGGACGTTGTACACCGGGTTGACGGATTGTTAGATCTGGGTGTGGTCCAAACCGTTTGAGGAAGACGGAGAAGACGGGAGCGGGGTGGGATATGGGTTGGGTGGTTCTAGTTTTGAGTTTGGAGCGGGGTGGGATCTGGGTTAGGTGGTTCTAGTTTTGAGTTTGGGGAAGACGGGGAGCAAGGGGAAGAAAGGCTGAGGGGGAGGAAGGTTGGGGGGGACGGGTGGGAAGGGTTTGAGGGATGCATGTGGGTGTCGAGAGAGAGAGAGAGAGAGAGAGAGAGAGAGAGAAGAGAGAGGCGAAAGAGAGAGGGTGGTGGAGGAAGGTTGGGGGGACGGGTGGGAAGGGGTCCCGGGGAGGGGGGTGTCGAGTGGGAAGGGGTTTTGGGGATGGAGAGAAGAGAGAGAGACGAGAGAGAGAGGAGAGAGAGATTTAATATAATTATTTTTTTAATTTTTAATTATATTTTAATCCAGTTGGCTTAGTGAGTGATCCCAATATCTAGCTATGTCAACACTTAACAGAAAAATTAATAGAAAAACTGACAGAGGTATAACATTGACACAAATTCGCAAGATGAGGTATGACATTGTCATTTTAGAAAGATGAGGTATGAAAGTGTTGTGATACCAATAGTTGAGGTAGTTTTTTGTACTTTACCCACAATTATTCTACCAACTAAGTTTCAACGAACTTTACTTTTAGGAGAAACTCAATATGTTTCACTAATGAAATAGTAACATAGTACACGGTGGGGATAAAGAAACGCCATTACTCAATATTTCATACAATATTTCAACAATAAATTTAAGATGAAGTCCGGACGTTTCTCAAACCAGTTATAACACGCACTAATATAAAGAGCACACATAGCGACCTAAATGGTGCGTAGTATCGTTGGCTTAACGAAGAAACTCAATAGAAAATGTTCAAGTGCTCTTACGCAATGCCACGCAATGCCGCCTTTGAATACTCTACAATGTGCCCCGCGATAGACATTTTTGTAGAGGTCTCTTGCAAAGTTGTTGCAATCAAACTTGGGAGGATACAATGGCCATTTGTCTCTCCAATCCACAGAGAGAGAGAGAAATTGATAAGATCCAAATCTCTAGGCCCTTAATCAACCTGCAAGTAACATAGAGGATAGACATGGAGAGGGAAGGAAGAGAGAGAGCAGAGCTCTTGCATTGTTTTTGTTTATATTTCTTTTGTGTAAATTCTGATCTAACTTGTACATCCAAAGCATGAGCTTGTATATAAGTTTCCACTAAAACAGATTGCCAACTAGCAATACCTAATCACTCCCTAATACTCATATTTAGTCTGCTAGTACATCACTAATTGTGATCGAAATATAGGATCATAACAATACTTCCCCCTTGAAGAACAACCTTGTCCTCAAGGTTGAAAATTGAAAAACTTATTTGAACGAGCAGAAACTAAGGAGTCTTGCAACAGAAGGGAAGCTGCAGGGACTGCAAATACAATCTGCAGATAGCTCATAACTTGAGAAGATAAGCCTGATAGCACCCCTGAACTGGTTATGGCAGCTCCCCACAACTTGGTAAGTGAGCACTTGTTACCTGTAGCCTCTTCATAAATTTCAACCCACGATATCATTTCAATTTCCATGCTAGTTGCCAAAAAGCATGCAGCAGCATCAAATGGAGAAAATGGGCCAACTCCCAGGGAACCTGCCAGAAGATTCTCAACCAATGCAGCTACTATAGCAATTGGACCATTGCCAAGAATTATAGCCTTAGAGATGGTTCTGAGCTTGATATCCTCAAGAGCAAGACGAGCGGTCTGATTGAGAAGAGACTACCGAAGATTAACCATCTTCTTCTTAGGTCCAACATACCATTCATTGCTCCGAATGTAACCATCATTCACCACACCACAGTGAGGGAAGCCACCCATGGAAGTGATGTCTTTCTCAGTCATCTTCCCATCGTGGAAGCACATCTCATAGCTTTTTTCAGTGATACTGGGACCACCTAATGTCTGATTGTCATAAAACTCCATTTTCTGAAATAAGCTGATGGATGTGATCAGCTTATATTGGATATTGAAAACTGCAATTCATTTTGAATCATTGAAATCATTGAACTTTAAACCGTCATAAACAACACTGATATTATGCATGGAAGATTTAGAGGACCTGAGCAAACCCAAAGCTTCAATCATGTCCTTCATCACCTCTGTTAAGGTATATAGTTGGCATTTGAATACATAAGGTGGCTGCGTAGTATCAAGTTCCAAAAATTTAAACAGCTCATTTTTCCAACTTACACTCATGGTAAGACAAATATGCAAAGACAAATATGATGGACTTCCTTCTTGAAGAACAGCCAAAGAAATAACACCAGCAGCAACCAAATGAAATAACACTAGCATCAACCAAATGAAATAACACTAGCAGCAACCAATACATTGATGTGTGTCATATTGTCTAACAAAATTACTTTCAGCTTACGACAGACTTTGCAGATATGTCCATAATCGTACAACCATGCATAAACACTAGCACCATCAACTCTTAGATTTGGCCTGAATACTAGTACCTCTTCACTACCAAAAGTGAGCATCTGAATACGTCTGTCGGTTTTCTTATGATGCAACTCTAGCTCTACCAAAATCCATCTTTTACCAATCATATAAGAGAAAACATGATGACTTACGCAATATTGCTTAGGTACAGTCACATATGGTGTTGTTTGATATTTCCATTACTCCTTGAAATGCATTCCATAAACCAAGAAGAATAAGACTGAAGCAGTAGTTGTTCCATCCTCCTCCAAAAGAAGCTTGAACTCAATCTCTAAATTCAGGAGACTTGTTAGACTGTTGGCAACCATGGAAATGATTTCCTTGATTTTGAGAGGATCATTTCTGTGTTTATGGCCGAGTATTGCAAACACTTCCTCTTCTTGTCTAAAATGTCCATCTTGAAGCCCCTTCAAGTTAGCGTATTCTTCCAAGAGCTTGATCATGGTTGTAACAATTTGCACCAGCAAAAGCACAATTTGACCAAAAACATGATTGTTACATGCTTCTGTAATATTTGTAGCAAGTTCCAGACCCTTGTAGCAGACCACTTCCTGAGACAACGTAGGGTTCAGAGTGTTGGAAAAGATCTGGAGCCTATTATCATTCTTACTTTTCTGAACAAGTATCGATACATATAGGTTCTTCCCTTTACTGATTGTATCATTGAGAGCACTAGCAGCAGCCATAGCTGAGTCCTCTTTGTCAAACTAAACAAACCCGAAACCTTTTCTCTTCCCATTTTCTTCTATTACCTTGAACGATAGGAGAATGCAGGGCCTCTTCATCAACCATATTGTATAATTCCTCTGATTGAACTTGTTCCTCTGATTGAAGACAACCCTTTGATAAGATATATTGTCACAAGGATCAGTTAGAGTGTGACACCAAGCCGGTTGCTGGAAAATCTGGTCATTCACTATGCAAGTAGGAAAGAAAACAGCATCGAGGTGTACATCAACCCTATTACACAAATCCTGATTCAATTTCGATAACAAGCTGGTGAAAATAGAATAGTCAAGTTGGGAAATGGCCATGACTGTGAACGCATATATGTGTAACAGTGATAAGTAGAGGAACTGCTTGATAGCATTGATATGACCCAAAGTCCCATTCTCCTCAGTGAAACTAGCTACAAGATCTTTAGGTAAATAACGACAAACAAGCACAACAATATCCAAAGCTTCCAAGTTGCTACTCAATGACATATTCTCCCTATTATGCCTCTTAGACATATCATCAAACAAATGCAATGCATATAAATTTTTCTTCACAAATTTACCCACAAGATACCAATTAACCCATCCAAATTTATCTGTTAGGTATGCACCATAGTATTTATCTTTCAGGTATGCACCATAGTTATCAGTCAAAAGAGAAGGGAATTTAGCCTCCGGAGTTGCTGAAATGATGCTCAAATTAAGAACTACCTCAGGTCCAGTTTTCGTAGTATTGGAGAACAAGTGCTTATGGAGTAGTTGCGGAGCAGAGATCATCGTCTTTGATTCCGGAAGCAAGATTGTAGATGCGGTGAGTCTCGATTACAAGATTACATTTGCAGTGAGTCTCGATTCAAGTCATATCCACGTATTGATTGAATTCAACTGATACATTTTGGTAATGGAAAAATGACATAGATGATTAATGGTTCGGATTCTCCTTCTTCTTTACGGTTACCGAGTGAGCTAGGAAATGTTGAAGACTGCCGAGCTGCCATGGTGGTCTTGCTGGTCTCGGCAATGGCAAAGTGTAGATTTTGGTGCCCAATGTAAAAAATCTCATTAGTTTTTAAGTAAAGATGACGCTTAATATGGCGGTTAATGGTTAAATTCTTAGAGTGTCAACTGTGAAACCTTCAACTTTTAAGAATATAGGAAAAAAAAAAACTTGTAGCTCAAGTAGTCACATTTCTCCTTTACTCGATTGGCATTATCGATTTTTCTTCCCCTAATATTACTTGTAGTAAAATATTATTGTACTGTGCATTATCCAGGATTATGGATACCTATTTCATTGAAATATTGTGTCCAGCATAGTCATTTAATTCCTGAAAAATTTGAAATTTATTTGAATGTTTCGTTGAAATATTGTGTTAAGAGTAGTTGTTTAATCCGTAAAAAATTGAAATTCATTTTAGTGTCCCCACCCTTTAGTACAATTTGGGACTCACTGCTAAACATTTTTTATAAGCAACAGTGAAAAAAAGTTGGGCTCCAATATTTGTGCTTGGCAAGTCAATCAGAGTGCTCCAATTTGTGTTCACCTACCAAGAGCGATCGCAATATTCCCCTGATAATTGAAGAATTGGTTACTGCTTGCTTGGAAATCAAGTGCCGCAAATTCATTTCTATGAGGAGAGAGAGACGCCGGAGTGGATGAGGAATTGAGAATGAATCTCACATTCATTTCTAATAAGAGAGAGATTCATTCTCAATAGTTTTGAAACATGTGTTTTGTCATTCTAACAAAGAGAAAAGTATTGAGAATGAATCTCGCATTACTTGCTTGGAAATCAAGTGTTGTAGCCAGAACTTTATCTTCTCCCTCTCTATTGTTTATCTCTCGTTTTTTTCTTTTATTTTTCTCAATAATATATTTCTTTTATCCTCTTTAATAAATCAAATATTTTGTTTATCTTCTTATTTGATTGTGAAAAGAAAAATTAAGATAATCTTTACAGGATCACATCTACCAACATACCCATTTTGGTCATTTTGCATAATCACAGCACTTTTGCATAAAAGTTTACCAAATATTTCTACACTGTTTTTCTTTTTGTTAAAAACACTTTCACAGTTAGAGTTTTCCAAACACTTAAGTACTTTATTTGTTTGTTTATTCTCACAGCACAATAAGATCTGTTTTTTTTTTAAGCACAACATGTCAAACTAGTCATTGATCTAATGATTCAAATAAGACGAAACATGGGTAATTTGTATTAGCTAGACCGTAATTCGCCTCAAAATCTCAGAACCACAGATATAGGCCCAAAACTACATCAATCCTTTAGTTAATATGCTTGGACCCCAGAAAAGGCTTGCTAAAATTTTCGCAAGAAATTAGGTATCCCACTACATTGAGAAAAACTTACGTGAAACGATTTCACTGTTACATGGATCTTGATTCAATAGTACAATTTCGTGTGGTGAAAAACTTACACATGACATTGTTTAAGTACAATGGAACGTCATGGACTCATGATAGTGGTGAACAAGTTCCATGTAACTTCTTCAGTGCATGGCTGTTGTCATAGTCCCCCACATATCCCCTGATGAATTGCCTGGAAATATATCATCAGCAGAACGTCCCTACTTGATAGACTTGATGAGAGACCTCATTAAAGCAACATAAATGGTGTCCGTGTGGACCCTTAGGTGAAGGAAAGTCCGAAAAAATTAAGAGCACTGCTACTACTACTGCTTGCCAAGGACTAGCTTCTAAATTTCCTTGAAAATCAATGCCCCCTGCTAAGATAGAAGACATTACACACTCTGTACATGAGTGATGGAATCGTTTTCGGTGTTGCTAAATCTAATCTATGGGGAAATCTTTATGTCGTACTCTCACGGGGAGCCACTACCTTCTTTTCCCAAGTGAGTGTCATGTTGACAACTGAGGTTTCGATGAATTTTCCGCTGATGACACTGATCGAAACAGCAATACAGCGTAATTTCTTGATAACCTCCTTCATTAAATTCCACTCTATATATTCTGAACTAAACAATCTATTCCTTGCTTCAATCCTTCCCCGAGAAAGGTATAAAAGAGGGCGTGATCTGCTCGTAGAGTACTACAAAGCCATGAGAAAGTTGGAGGAGCGTACGAGAAGCTGCTACTCCGAGTTGATGCCTATGTCAAGCCCTGACTTTGTTCAAATGATGGTGCTTGATGGTTGCTTTATCATCGAGCTTTTTCGACAGAGGAGTACAGATGAAGAGGACACCATTTTAAAAAGGCCCTTTTTTATTCAAATTTTAACTAGGGACCTTCTGAAGCTTCAAAACCAACTCCCTTTCTTCGTCCTTGAAAAACTATTTGAGATTTCCGACTTTGGAACTCAACATTCTCTATCCTTGCTTGCGCTTGAGTTCTTCAATCATTCGTTGCCTAGGCCTAGCGAAGTCCTCAAGAGGAAGAGTGAGCTTACTGGGGCCAACCACTTGCTCGACTTGTTTCGCTTAAGCTTCCTTCCTCTCGCACCACACGATCCTCTAAGGAACAATCCTCCTCCCTCGAAGTCAATATTCCAACAAAAGGTAGATGCTCTACTGCGGAGAAGTCTGCCAATATTGCTTTGCCTGTGTACGCTAGCAACAGTGATTTTACTCGATGATGATCGTCACTCTAACCTAAAGTACCGCCCAACTGCGAAATCAATCCAATGTACCACACAACTAAGACTCTCTTGGGTAAAATTTAGGCCGCGCAAAAATGCGGAGAGCTTCTTAGACGTTAGTTACCAGAAAAGGGTTCTTCGCATCCCACCTATAACCATCAATGAGCTCACCATTGCTATCTTTATCAATTGCATGGCGTTTGAACTCTGTCACCCACACACAGCTCCGCTCTTCACCGCTTATATTGCCTTCATGCGCTGTCTCATCAATTCGAAGAGGGACGTCCAAGTTCTTTGTGCTGAAGGGATTATCGCCGGCTTCTCCCAGAGCGATCATAACTTAACTGAGCTGTTCACAAACTTGGGGGAAAAGGTTGTGCTCGACATAGGAGATTGCTACCTCTCCAAGCAATTCAGAGATGTGGAGGCCTATTACAGCAGCTGTAGGGGTACCTTCCTGCGATCTTGTTTTGGCGAGCCATGGTCGTTGGTCTCATTTGTCTGTGCCTTAATACTGTTTGCGTTCCCCATGTACTCAGCGTCCTGATGAGGTACACAGCAACAAAAGATTCGTCTGATTCTACAGCTTTCCATTTTTCATTTATATTTTAAATCTTGCAGTGATTTGGAGATCCTGCGGCTTGTACTGAATGTAGAGGTTTGGATATCTTGTTTCCTCACTTCCAATCCGTCTCTCACTTTATTGTATTTCGCATTTTTAATTCTGCAGCACTTGTTATTTCTCCCCCATGATCTACTTACCATGTTTCATATGCCGTAACTCTATATAAGTAAAATTATTTGTTTTTACACGTAAAATATTAATAAAATTATATTTAAGAAAATATTTCTAATTCAATAATTTAGAAACACGAAAAAATTAATTTATTTTGTATTGAGAAAAAGAACCAAAAGACCCCAAGCTTACAAGTAGATAAATGATGAGTTTTGTTTTCCTTCTATATGAACTTTATTTTTATTATTGCCAGATTTTTTTTTTAACAAGTGATATTATCTACACCAAGAGAGAGGGAATGGGCTTAGTACTATGATCTAGTGGTATTCCTCTTCACTTGTAAGTGAGAGGTCTTAAGTTCGATTCTTACTAAGGACGAATTTGAACCACATTATTGCTAACTGATTATGAAAGGTTGGAGACTGTTTCGCTGAATATTGTTGTTAAAATCAAGAGTGCGGTAGTTTAATCCCGGAAAACTGAAACTTATTTGAGTGTTTGCTGCATTTGGATAAGCTAGATGAAGCCACATTATGTGTGTAAATATAAAATTCAAAAAAAAAAATATATATATATATATAGAAAAAAGAGAAGTTAGAGACAAATGTGATAAAAAAAATGTACCTTTTTTTATTTTAATAAAAATACTATGACGACATATAGTTAAGATTAGATAGTAAAGTGTGCGAGTTGCTGCGGGATTACAAATTGACATTCTAGCAATTTATAAACTTGAGTTAGTATTGGTGTAACATTGACTGATCTAACAAAATTACCATAACAAGGAAAAGAATTTTTTTTGCTGTAGAAAAATTATTGTTTTGATACCTTACAAAGGTAATTTGTTCAAAAAGTTGAAAGCAAGAGGTTTCCAATCTTGAAATTCCACAACATCCTTTGAAAAATAGCGACCATCATTGGATGGAACTATTGTACTTCCTAGAGGAGAGAAAAAAATGATAAACTACTGAGATATTCTCATACAAAAAAGAGACACACTTGAAATTGAATGAACAAAATATTCAAACATGGTAAGTAGATCATGGGGGATAGTCTATCATTTTTGGCCAAGTGAGGAGTATCTTGAGTACTGAGAGAGAAAATAGTAGTTCTACATTATTTTATGATACCTATTGGGTTAGCCTTGTATTTCATTCTATTTATAAAATCGACTACTGACATGGTTACAACCTTTGCCAACATCACCTCTGGTATTGGGTGTCCATTTAATTTAACTTGAATTTCTCCTTCAATCTTGGATATACATAATGCTTCAGTTTAATTTTTACCACAAAAAAAAAAGAAAAAAAAAAGAGTCTAAATGGGTTTTTCATATAGATGATAAAACTGCAACTTAGTAGAATCAAAGACAACGAAAATTAAGTATTATTTACCATAAACAGGCTTACCAATTTAAATGCAATAATGAAAATGAAGAGAATTTGCTTCATCGTGTTTAGCAAGGAAATAAATAGCAACGAAAATAGTATGATTTGGTGAACCTTACCTTTAACTTATTCTGACAATAGGGCATTAAAGGTTCACGAAACAAAATTTGCGAGTAATGAGGTTGTATAAGCCTGAAAAATTAAAGCCACTATCATACAAAGGTTAATAAGAAAAATCCAATCCAATAATCACATCTGTCTGAGAAGTGTATTTTAGCTTAGAAACATGTATGCATTTAAAAAGGAGGAGAGAGAGAGAGAGATGAACCTTCTTGCAGAAGGCAAAGGTTGAGGGCTGGACAAAGAGCTTTAGAGATTTGTACTTAGTTTTCTGGTGAAGCTCATATATTCATTATTGAAATTCACATATTCTCCCTATTATGCCTCTTAGACATATCATCAAACAGATGCAATGCATATAAATTTTTCTTCACAAATTTACCCACACGATACCAATTAACCCATCCAAATTTATCTGTTAGGTATGCACCATAGTATTTATCTTTCAGGTATGCACCATAGTTATCAGTCAAAAGAGAAGAGAATTTAGCCTCCGGAGTTGCTGAAATGATACTCAAATTGAGAACTACCTCAGGTCCAATTTTCGTAGTATCGGACAATGAGTGCTTATGGAGTAGCTGCGGAGCAGAGATCATCGTCTTTGATTCCGGAAGCAAGACTATAGATGCAACGAAGTTGTTCGAGTGTGGCTTGACGACCGATTTGCCAGTGCTCGCAACATCGATGAAGATGAGAGCAATGGCAGAATAAAATGGTCGTGGATTGTCGACGAAATTCACAATGGGTTGCCGTCTTCGTTGTGAGGTTTTTGGTGACCGACCTCGATCGATTCAGCTTCCTTGGAACACATCGAGGCTGGATCAGAATCTCCCTTGACGCCGAGAGTCGAGTTATGGCGTAACTGAGTAAGGTCACTGCGGATTTCTGCAAGTACAAGATTCATAGCCTTGTGAATGGCAGTGACTGCAGAATCCATGGCTTCGCAGATTGCATCACGGAGCACAACACACATCGAAGCTTCAAATGAGTCGATTGCAGCGAAGAGACGTGCATCCATGGCAGGAAGATGGGTGGGGTGGGCGTGCACAGGAGGGAAACCAGGATTCGAGAGGGATGATACCATTGATAAGATCCAAATCTCTAGGCCCTTAATCAACCTGCAAGTAACACAGAGGATAGAGATGGAGAGGGAAGGAAGAGAGAGAGCAGAGCTCTTGGATTGTTTTTGTTTATATTTCTTTTGTGTAAATCCTGATCCAACTTTTACATCCAAAGCATGAGCTTATATATAAGTTTCCATTAAAACAAATTACCAGCTGGAAATAACTAATCACTCCCTAATACTCATATTTAGTCTGCTATTACATCATTAATTGTGATCGAAATATAGGATCATAACACAGAGAGAGAGAGAGAGAGATAGCTCTGGATCTGCGGAGTGGAGAGAAAGGGTAAATTTGCAGCCGACCGCGAAGTGAAGCAAGTAGGACTGCGAAATGAGGTTTTATGCAGAGTCGTTGCTAGGGTTTTGATCGGATTGCAACACTTAACCGACCCGGGTTTGGGCCGGATTTAGTAACTGCTAGTCCATTCTACGTTTTCTTAACGGACCCGGATTTAGTAACTGCTAGTCCATTCTAGGTTTTTTTAAAGTTAAATTAAAAAAACCTAAACTAAAAAGTATTGCACACACATTAAATTGATATTGAAAGAAATATAGATATGTCTTCCTTCAAAGGAAGTGAGTCACGTTTTTGTCATCTGTGTAAAATCGATTAGTGGTCAAGATGGATCATAATTAATCTAATTGATATTGGATTGATTGAATTTAACTGATACATTTTGGTAACAGAAAAATGACGTAGATGATGAATGGTTCGGATTATAAGATTACATTTGCAGTGAGTCTCAATTCAAGCCATATCCACATATTGATTGAATTCAACTGATACATTTTGGTAATGGAAAATTGACATAGATGATTAATGGTTCGGATTCTCCTTCTTCTTTACAGTTACCGAGTGAGCTAGGAAATGTCGAAGACTGCCGAGCTGCCATGGTGGTTTTGCTCTCGTCAATGGCAAAGTGTAGATTTTGGTGGCCAATGTAAAATAATCTCATTAGTTTTTAAGTAAAGGTGACGCTTAATGTGGCGGTTGATGGTTAAATTCCTAAAGCGTCAATTGTGAAACTTTCAACTTTCAAGAATATAGGAAGAAAAAAAAACTTGTAGCTCAAGTAGTCGCATTCACCCCTTTACTCGATCGGCATTCTCAATTTTTCTTCCCCTAATATTACTTGTAGTGAAATATTATTGTATTGTGCATTATCCAGGATTATGGATACCTATTTCGTTGAAATATTGTGTCCAAAATAGTCGTTTAATTCCTGAAAAAATGAAATTTATTTAAGTGTTTGGTTGAAATAATGTGTTAAGAGTAGTCATTTAATCTGTAAAAAATTGAAATTTATTTTAGTGTCCCCTCCCTTTATTACAATTTGGGACTGCTTAACATTTTTTTATAAGCAACAATGAAAAAAAGTTGGGCTCCAATATTTAGTGTTTGGCAACTCAATCAGAATGCTCCAATTTGTGTTCAACTACCAAGAGCGATCGCAATATTCCCCTGATAATTGAAGAATTGGTTACTACTTGCTTGGAAATCAAGTGCCGCAAATTCATTTCTACGAGGAGAGAGAGACGCCAGAGTGGATGAAGAATTGAAAATGAATCTCACATTCATTTCTAACTAGAGAGAGATTCATTTTCAATTGTTTTGAAACACGTGTTTTGTCATTATAACAAAAAATAAAGTGTTGAGAATGAATCTCACATTATTTGCCTGGAAATCAAGTGCTGCAGCCAGAACTTTATCTTCTCCCTCTCTATTGTTTATCTCTCGTTTTTTTATTTTATTTTTCTCAATAATATATTTCTTTTATCCTCTTTAATAAATCAAATATTTTGTTTATCTTCTTATTTGATTGCGAAAAGAAAAAATTAAGATAATCTTTACAGGATCACATCAACCAACATACCCATTTTGGTCATTTTGCATAATCACAACACTTTTGCATAAAAGTTTACCAAATATTTCTACACTGTGTTTCTTTTTGCTAAAAACACTTTCACAGTTAGAGTTTTCCAAACACTTAAGTATTTTATTTGTTTGTTTATTCTCACAGCATAAGAAGATTTGTTTTTTTTAAAGCACAACATGTCAAACTAGCCATTGATCTAATGATTCAAATAATACAAAAAATGTGTAATTTGTATTAGCTAGACCATAATTCGACTCAAAATCTAAGAACCACATATATAGGCCCAAAACTACATCAATCCTTTAGTTAATTTGCTTGGACCCCAGAAAAGGCTTGCTAAAATTTTCGCAAGAAATTAGGTATCCCATTGTATGATGAGCAACTTACGTGGAACGATTTCATTATCACATGGATCCTGATTCAATAGTGCAATTTCATGTGGTGAAAAACTTACACATGACATTGTTTTAGTATGGAACGTCATGGACTCATGGTAGTGGTGAACAAGTTCCATGCAACTTCTTCAGTGCGTGGCTGTTGTAATAGTCATCCACATCCTCTGATGAATTTCCTGGAAAGATATCATCAGCAGAACGTCCCTACTCGATCGACTTGACGAGAGACCTCATGAAGGCAACAGAAATGGTCTCCGTGTGGACCCTTAGGTGAAGGAAAGTTTGAAAAAATTAAGAGCACTGCTACCACTACTACTTGCCAAAGACTAGCTTCTAAATTTCCTTGAAAATCAATGCCTCGTGCTAAGATAGAAGACATGACACTCAGTGTACATGAGTGATAGGTTAACAACTGAGGTTTCAACGAATTTTCGTTGTGATGGAATCACTTTTGGTGTTATTAAATTATCTATATACTAGGACTCGGTTCGGCCAGCACTGTTTTTCACTGTTCACGAACAGTGAAAGGACGGAAATGCCCCTGATTTCTTCTCTGCTTGTCGTGTTGTTTTCACTTTTCTACAGTCAAAAGTCGATTTTACCCATTTGATCCACGCGTTGATCATCGCTGGGTTGCTTGCTTTACCTTTCATTTTCACTTTTCGTGTTTTGTGGGATAGAGCATCTTTCATTTTCTGGGTTGCTTGCTTTACCTTTCATTTTCACTTTTCGTGTTTTGTGGGATAGAGCATCTTTCATTTTCCCCTTCCTCTTCTTTTCTCCTCTCTCTCTCTCTGTCTTTGTGTGCCTTTTTCGATTTCTCTATCTCTTTCGTTTCAATTCCAATCCGATCGTTTGTGAGTGATCAATATTGGCAGTCGCAAGGACGCGGTGGATCTGTTGGTAAGAGTTCTACTCTGTACAATAATTATGAACTACAATTTGTGTTAGGATGGCCGTGATTCATGTTAAACGATCTTGGTGATTGGATCTTTTAGATTGGATTTTTGTGGTTTTGAATTTGTGGGTTTTTTTTTTTTTTTGGGATTTCTGGGTTTTTTTAGCTTTTGAGCGTTGGGGATTTCTGGAACTAGCCCTCCTTCACTCTCAATTTCCTCCCCTTCACCGATCATCTAAACCAATGATACTCAGAGTTCCCCATCACCGAACTCCATTCGAAAACCTTCTGGAGCGACTTCTCCTCACCAAGCAGCCACTGTGCTCCAGATCTTTCCAGTTGAAATTCCTCTTCGTCACCCTTCCATGTTGAATTTCACATCAACATTGGATTCGAGTTTTTTTGTCTTCTATTTCTTTTTTCAATATCTACTTTTCCACATAGAGTTTTTTATTTTATTTTATTTTATTACTAGTTAGTAAGTTGGATATTAAATTAACTACCAACGGGATTTGAACTTACGCCGTCATGTAAGAGCACAACACATTTTCACCGCTGTGGTAAAGTGCCATGTTATTGCTAGCTTATTGTGAAGTTAAGCTGAGCACTTTCTCCCTTAATGTTGATAATATTGATTGTTAAAAAAAAAAAAACATAAAATTGGTTTCCAATAATAAACAAAAAGGTAAAGAATAAATAAGCCCGTGGTATACGTTCGCGTGTAGGAAATATGAGCATTAGTGCATGCACACAGTGATCGATATACAAAGATATCAAGTGATCGAGAGCAGAGCACAAGGATTTCTGGTATTATACTCAACAAATTGACAAAATTTGAGTGAGTTGGTCTGTTAGTACATCCATGGTTTGGTTTAGTTTGGTCACAGTGGCGAGGCCGCCAAAAACATGTAATAAATTAAAGGAAAAATTAGTATTCGGTCCATACGAGGTTCGATATTGCTTACTTAGTAATTGTCGTGAGTCAGTTTATGAATGCATCCAGTGAGGATCATATGGCGGCGGTAATACGAATTTTGAGTTACTTAAAAGAAGCTCCAAGGAAATGACTAATGTACAGGAAGCATGGGCATATGGAGGTGAAAGGGTACACCAGTGTAGATTGGGTTGTAAATATTACTAATCGGCGGTTCACTTCATGTTATTTTACATTTGTAACTAGTAACCTTGTAACCTGGAGAAGTAAAAAGTAAAATGTGGCACGCGACATTTTCGGCAGTGGCTGAATACAAAGGAATGGCACATGGTATTCGTGAGCTTTTGTGGCTTTGGATTATGCTTACTAAAGTAGAGTTTAAGCCCAAAGATCATATGTTGTTGTATTGTGATAATCAAGCGCGGGAGATAGCTAATAATCCAGTGCAGCATGATAGGACTAAACATGTTGAGGTGAACATGCACTTCATAAAATAAAATAAAAAATTAGATGTTAAGTTGGTTGACATTCTGTTCGTAAAGACAGATGAGCAGCTAACAGATGTTCTGGCACATGCAGTCTCGGCAAGGAGGTTTCAGTACTCACTCAACAAGTTAGGCCTAGATAATATCTACATGCCAACTTGAAGGGGAATGTTGGTGTGAGTCAACATGTTAAATGAATTAGGAGTGTATGTATGTTTCCTATATTTATGCTTCCTAGTTTGGTTGTAACTCTCTGAGGAGAGAAGTTGTGTATATATGTTACCTCCCAACGGGAGGAGTAAAAAGAAAAAGATTTGAAACATTGAGTTATAACTTTAATTGTTTTCACGACTTGGTCTACCGTTTATATTAAAAAGAATAATGCTAGGAAGACTTTAATTTTTAAATCAAATTTGCAAATCAAATAATTAACAATCACATCATTTAGTTTACAAAATTTAATTTAAATATATAAATATATCTAATATATACAAACCCCAAAAAATGAAAAAGACAACGACACAACGTAGAATCTTAGATGTGTCTTTGCCACGTACGCGCGCATGACAAAATACACAGATATGTCTCTGTCCATCGCATGGTTTTAGGCACCAAGAGGCACATAACTTATACTTGGCACATTTTAGAGGAAACCACAAAATTTGGGATTTTATAAGAAAATAACAAAATAAATTACACAAAACTACCTCAAAGTTGAACTACAATCTCATACCTCATATTTTAAACATTGTAATGTCATATCTTAATTTATGAATTCGTTGTATTGTCAGACCTCTATTAAATTTTCTGTCAATTTGGTTGTTCAATGATGACGTGGCAAGAGCACAACCCACTTCTACGCCAACTAGAATAAAAAATAAATTTTATTTAAGAATTAGAATTAATTAAAAAAATTAAGATAATATCACATCCACCAAAATATTCATTTTGGTCATTTTGCATAACCGCAACAATTTTACATAAAAGTTTACCAGATATTTCTATACTATTTTTGGTTAAAAGCACTTTTACAATTAGAGTTTACTAAACATCTACCTGTTTTCTTTGAAAACTGTTTTTTCTCACAACACAACTAAATTATTATTATTATTATTTTTTAAACATAACAATACTAAATTATCCCTTAGTCTAATGATTCAAATAATACGAAAAAGGTGTAATTTGGATTAGACCATAATTGGGCTCAAAATCTAAGCACCACCATATGTAGGCCCAAACAACGTCAATCCTTTAGGTGGCAAACCATCTTCCACAACCCAAACCACCTCAAGCCTTGAAAACACAAACCTCACTCGTTTGTTTACCAAAAGTAAGTAAAAAAAAAAAAAACCATGAAGGTTCTAGTTTCTGTGCAGCCCATTTGTCAATCTTATATCTTAATCTCTACCAGCGCAGCTAGAATCCATCTATGGCAGTTTTAAATAGAGTGATTAATTGAACTCCACACTCTACACCTACTCATGGCATTGACAGTCGAAGTAAATAATCGTCGTCATAACAACCTTCTGAAACGTTAATATCCGCTGGTGGCTTTGGTAAATGTATGAATATGGGACGAACAGTAAATTTAAATATTACAATTTCGAATCACACGTGTAAGAAAATATCATGAGTACAACTTACTCCTACAAAACCCTGGTCTAATAAGGTGTACAAGGCTCCTATACCATCTCAAGACAGGATATTTTTTCCAATGGGTGTGCTATCCACATATCCCATTTTACTTCTCACACACCTCTTGATAATTTTTGTCAATTAATTTTCTTCCATTCATCTAATCCGATAGCTGAAAATTAAATGTGTGTGAGAAATAAAATGAGATGTGTGGATATCACACCCCTTTTCCAATGTATAATATAGATTAGGACCTAACGTAGTAGGTTTGCAGTTGTACAAATAAATGCACAAAACCACGTCTGGTCTTACTTACTCAATTTTGTTACAAAACTATTGTTATCCTTAAAAAATCAAGAACACGTTTGTCTCTCATAACTAAAATATAGAACATACAGCACACACTTGCCTGGATCTACACTATATATTACCAGTCGATTTCTTTTTTAAAAAGTGATCAGCTGGTAATTTCGCCATAAAAGTTCATTTTTTGGGGATCGGGAAGACTCACAGGTACTATATTTCGACTTATAGACCTTCTTTTTAGCCTTATTCTAAAGAAAAGCTGTCACATCACGGCCTGGGGGGGACCACTTCCCGGGCCCACTCCACCACCGTAGCACGATATTGTCCGCTTTGGGCTCCAATCACACCCTCATGGTTTTGTTTCTGGGAACTCACACGAGAACTTCCCGATGGGTCACCCATCCTGGGAATGCTCTAGCACGCTACTTGCTTAATTTTGGAGTTCCTACGGAACCCGAAGCCAGTGAGCTCCCAAAAGGCTTCGTGCTAGGTAAATGTGGGAATATACATATAAGGATCCCCTGGGCGTTGTGGGATGTTACAATCCACCCCCTTCGGGGCCCGAAGTCCTCGTCGGCACACCACGACTAGGGTTAGGCTCTGATACCAAATTGTCACATCCCGGCCCGAGGGTGACCACTTCCCGGGCCCGCTCCACCACCGTAGCACGATATTGTTCGCTTTGGGCCCCGATCACGCCCTCACGGTTTTGTTTCTGGGAACTCACACGAGAACTTCCCGATGGATCACCCATCCTGGGAGTGCTCTTGTGCGTTACTCGCTTAACTTCGGAGTTCCTACGGAACCCGAAGCCAGTGAGCTCCCAAAAGGGCTCGTCCTAGGTAAAGATGAGAATATACATATAAGGATCACTTCCCTAGCGTTGTGGGATGTTACAAAAGCCCTATCCCGCTTATGCCTATGTTTCAAGTAAATAAATAAGAAGCATTTCAACTTCCTTTGGCCACCATCATGCAATTCACCAGCGCTAGGAATCGAACTCAGTTAATTGTATATGTGATTCGCTATCTTTGACATCCATAAAAAAAAGTAACGCTGAGTAGACTAATTTTTTAAACCACCTGTGTAAATTATGTAATGTGTCAACAATAAAAAATAAGCATGTAAATCAAAACCTAAGTAATAATTCAATCGTCAATAACCATGTAATATAATTTACAAAATACAATTAAATTGACGATCTCTCTGGCATTACCCTAAAAAATCAATGAATGAATTGCATGGACCCAGAAAAAAAACAGTGAACTGCCATTTTCTTTCACTTTCTTTTTTTGTCTTCTTTTTCTTTTTCCAAGTCCACTTCACCACATGGTGCAGTAGTTAATCATACAACTTAATAAACAAAAGAGGCAAAGGATAAGACCATGGTACGGTCACGTCTAGCAGAATATAATACGTGCATAGTGCATGTACACAGTGATCGATGTAGAAAGAGATCAACCGATCGAGAACACTAGGGTTTCTGGTCTTATACCAATAAAGTTTGACAAAATTTGAGCGCATCCATGCATAGTTTTGTCACAGTGGCTAGGCCGCCAAAAGAATGCGATAAATTAAATAATTAAGCTCGCCTACTCAACATTTTCCTTTGCAGCACCAGAGAATTAATAGTCTTTTGTCAGCACCATATATAGCTTTGTTCTATTAGGAACTCGATCGTATACACATATATGTGTGCATATGTACTACAGTGGAAAGATGATTGTCCAAGGTTTATTAAGTAGCAGAATGTTCAGCTCGTAAATAGTTGATCAGGAAATACATAGTCATTAATCTTTAAATTGGATATTAAGGATGAAGGATCAACATAATGTGCTTCTAATTTTTTTAGTCTTCACATTTAATATCAAACAGAATGGTGAGTGACTATCAATCTTTGATATATCCAGATGATCAAAAGAACATGACTCTATTAAGTAGCGAGTTTCCTTAAATTACAGTTTCTTTTTAAAGAAAACCTCACATCTTAATAGGTTTATTAAGTCCCCACCCAACTTATATATATGTGGCCAGTGGTGGAGTCGTCAATTTGCAACAATGAGGCTATGGTTTCGAAAAAAAGAAAAAAAAAATCATTGCACCATTCATTCGAGCATCTCATGAGCACCTATTAAAATCTACCAACATTCGCCGAAAGCTTGTGATGACATCTATCAATTGTTGTGTTCTTCTATCATCTAAATCTATCAAGGTATGCCCAAGCTAGCAGACTGTCAAGACTTGCATGCCAAGACTTTTTAAGTGAAGCCTTTAGTGGAGCATGTGAGGTACGCACTACTAGGTTGCACACAAGAAAAAAGAGAAGGAAGACACGGGAAAGAATGAAGAAATTAGAGAATGAAGAAGCAACAATAGGTTGTAATTCAACGTTGTCTACTATCTCCTTAGTTGGGGTCAAAGATAAACTCTGAAACTATTGAGCTCATGAGCAGCCATTGATCCCAAATTGGCTCCGCTACTGTATATTGTATAGATATATACAATTAAAGAATTTTAATATACAAGACTGCATATAACCGAATAAACTTCTATAAAAATCACTTGTCTATAAGGTTATAGCAATGATTTGATTGAGGATACATAGAAATGGAAGCACATTGTGCTTTCCACTTCAACTTTTGCTTTGTGGGATCCCATAAGAGGGGATTAAACATTCAAATTGGAGCATAAACATGCATTTATATATAAGAATGCATTGTTACATAAGGATTAGGGAATCAAGAATGTCTTGTATTTGAGATATATCAGTTAATGTTTATGCGGGAGCAGCAAGAACAGACAACGTACGTTAGTACAAAGGAAGCACACCACATTGACCAATCACCTTATTGTATATTATAAGGTCAAGGCATGCCAAGATAAGATTTCGATTCTCTTTTTGTTTGGAGCTGGGATTTCCCATTTTCTCTCTTTTATCTTAGTTAGATTGTCAAGAATTTTAATTTTTTCAAATAAAATGAAAATTATATATATACATATATATATATATATATATTATAGTTTTAGAAAACTATAACTCATAGAAACTAAAATTCATGGAAAGGTATTTACTTTGTAAAACTATGATTAATTGTCTGTTTAAATATGCTTGAAAGCAATAACGAGTGTTAACCAGTTAGTAACCTAATAATTCATTTAAGTTCACGCGGCAATTCAACGTCAGATGTGAATCTTACAAAACTTCATCACCATGAGTGAAAAACTGGAAACATTTAGTCATTTGAGGATTGTTCTGAACATCTCATTATTTAGTGATGAGAATCTCTTCTAATTCACATAATTACTTTCTCCTCTTGATCTAGCAACAATCATGATACATGAAGGATTAAAACTGAAATTGAAAAACATACTTAGCTCTTACAATTTAGCAACAAGTTATATCAAACTGAAAATTATTCTAAATTGTGTTGGCCAATAACACATTATTACTAGCGCTTAAATTTATGCACAATGTCAGGTATACTAAATTTTTAAACCAAATTTTGTAAACCATATGACGTAATTGTTGATAATTGGAATTATTAATGAAATATTGATTAACGTGCTTATTTTTTGTTGATGACACATCATATGGTATGTAAATTTAATCTAAAAATTAGTTTACCTAACATTACTCTAAATTTATATATTTAATCATTGTCTATATATACTAATGAGATCTCCCACAATTTTCAGAAACTTTGTGTGATCCGCAACTATTTATGAACATCCTAATTAAGTTGCTATGATTAATAGAAAGTAGATTATAAATAAGGTTAGGTTCTTGCTCCAGGTCAAATAGACAAGGAAATTAAAACTGGGTTGTGGTGGATCAAACGTCTAATCACATCGGCTTAAGCTTAAGGCTTCATCATTTATAACTGACAAATATCTCCAAATAGAAAAAGCCTTCGGGAATTGGCTTATCTGTATATTCCTTTGGTGGACTTGTCACACTTAAAGGAGTGGTCTGACTGCGACATCTATATCTATAAAACCTGCACATGGCATTAAAGAAATGATCTATATTGGCCTCAACCAAGATTATATGCCCCTATATATTTAACTATATACCTTTCTTGTTCAAAAACTATATACCTTCTTCAAAATTTTGAAAAAAATAGAGATTATTGTACATATAATGTGACCCCGTTAATTTTTAATTTCCAGTCCATATAAGTGGCTAGTTTTGAGACACTGATGTTTTTGCCACTAGCCAAGGAGAAGGTGCTCGGAGATTTTCATGCCATGACAGTTTTGGTTTTAACCTCAAATTTTCATTTTTTTCCTTCTAAATATTGAGAATAGATCCTTCCATCTTATTTCGTCAGAAACCTTAGGTGGTGTGTGGAATGAGGTTGACTTTGGATCTCTGTGTCAGGAGTTTGCAGATCAAGAGATTTGACTTTTTTTAAATACACTTGTGAGGAGTGTAAAATGAGATTTTAAAAATGCTAATAATATTTCCCTTCATAAAAATTTTGTCATTTATAATTCTAAAATCAATTTTCATGTTAATAATGTAAAATATTAAAACTTCAAGTGACAGAAACATTGTAAGTTGTCTTATTTTGGAAAGAGTTCTCTTTGAATTTCTCACTTTAAAATCCAAAGCTCCTTTCTTCTATTAGTTTGAATAAATTAGAAAGGATTAAAACACATAAATAAATATCCTTGGGTAAAAGTTATCTTCTTTATTCAGTAATACTCAAATGTTGTCGCATAAGATTTGCAAATCGTTCGTATTATTGACACTAGAACTCCTTAATTAAAAAAGTAAGATTAAATTAGTACATATTTGACAATTTTAAATAATTTATAACAATCATCTATAACAAATATAGGAGAATCCTATATTTAATTAATCGAAACTTCGGGGAAAGGTTGATTGAAACATGAGCGACAACTGGGGTTTCACACGGAGACCATTTCTGTTACCCTTCATGAGCTCTCTCATCAAGTCGATCGAGTAAGGACTCCGGCTGATGATACGTCATTTCCAGGAGTCATTAGTAACTTTCCATGAAACTTCGGGGAAAGATTGATTGAAACATGAGCGACAACTGGGGTTTCTACGAATTTTCCACTGATCGAAACAGTATATAAACTGACGCAAACATTGCTATTTGCCAGCTTGAAGAGGGAGATATAAACTGACGCAAACATTGCTATTTGCTAGCTTGAAGAGAGAATCATCTCCAGGAGTCATTAGTAACTTTCCATGAAATTTCGGGGAAAGATTGATTGAAACATGATTGACAACTGGGGTTTCTACGAATTTTCCACTGATCGAAACAGTATATAAACTGACACAAACATTGCTATTTGCCAGCTTGAAGAGGGAGATATAAACTGACGCAAACATTGCTATTTGCTAGCTTGAAGAGAGAATCATCTCCAGGAGTCATTAGTAACTTTCCATGAAATTTCGGGGAAAGATTGATTGAAAAATGATTGACAACTGGGGTTTCTACGAATTTTCCACTGATCGAAACAGTATATAAACTGACGCAAACATTGCTATTTGCCAGCTTGAAGAGGGAGATATAAACTGACGCAAACATTGCTATTTGCTAGCTTGAAGAGAGAGAGAGAGAGAGACAGAGAGAGAGGGAGAGAATGGGGGATAGTGAGCATTATGGTATCACAGTGTTCGAGTCGAGTAGGAGCAATGAAGAAGAAGATTCGATCGATTATAAAGAATTTGTAGCTCAAATGGGAAGGCGTCTACAGGAGCAGAGAAGAGAAGAAGAGCAAACATACGGTAGGCGCAAAGTGTGCATATACAGAGTTCCTACCAGCCTCACTGGAGTCTGTCCAGAAGCCATTGAACCCGAGATGGTCTCCATTGGACCTTACCACCATGGCAAGGAGAAGTTACTGGAATTCGAAAGTTACAAATGGCAATTTCTTTCGCTCCTTTGCCAAAGGCTTGGTGATCAACTAAGGCTTGATGATCTGCTGGGCACATACTACAAGGCCATGAAAGAGTTGGAGAAGAGAACAAGAAACTGCTATTCTGAGGTGATATCCATGTCAAGCTCTGACTTTGTTCAAATGATGGTGCTTGATGGTTGCTTTATCATCGAGCTTTTTCAACAAATGAATACTGCCGACGAATTTAATTATTACCACTCTATCTTAGAGAGGCCATGGTTGATTCCAGTTGTTACAAGAGACCTCCTCAAGCTTCAAAACCAACTCCCTTTCGTCGTCCTTGAAAAACTATTTGAGATCTCAAACGTGGGGACTGAACAATCTCTAGCCATGCTTGCGCTTCAGTTCTTCAATCATTCATTGCCTAGGCCTAAAGAAGTCCTTAAAAGGACAATCAAGCTAAGTGGGGCTAAGCACTTGCTTGACTTGTTTCACTTAAGTTTCCTTCCTACCCCACGCGAAACTAGGACCCTTCCTACCCCACGCGAAACTAGGACCCTTCCTACCCAACGCGAAACTAGGACCGATCCTTTGCCTCAGAATTCATGGTTTAAGTGTACGTTAGATGTACTATGTCGAGTGGCCGTACTCCCAGCCATACCACTCATTTGCTTCTTTGGGTTTCTACTTTCCTCAAGAACTCCAGATGATAATGATCGTGCCCCTGACCAAAGGTACCGTCCATCTTCTGAGTCAATCCAATGTACCACACAACTAAGACCCTCCGGTGTCAAGTTTAGGCCACACAGAGATGCAGAGAACCTTTTAGATGTTGACTTCCAAAATGGGGTACTCCAAATTCCACCCATAACCATCAATGACCTCGCCATTGTTGTCTTCATCAATTGCATGGCCTTCGAACGATGCCACCAGTACACATCTCAGCACTTCACCGCTTATATTGCCTTCATGAGCAGGCTCATCAATTCAACTAGGGACGTCACACTCCTCTGTGCTGATGGGATAATCACCGGCTTCTCACTGAACGATCAAAACGTAGCTGAGATGATCACAAAGTTAGGGGAAAAAGTTGTGTTCAACATAAGAGAATGCTACCTCTCCAAGCAGTTCAGAGATGTAGAGGCCTATTACAGCAGCCATTGGGCAACTTTCATGCGAACATATTTTAGCAGGCCATGGTCCTTCATTACAGTTTTAACTGCCTTCACCGTTCTTCTTCTTGCTGGGATCCAAACGATTATGGCCATCTTGAGCTACCTTCAAAAAAAATAGTCAAAAGATTAATGTTGATGCATGTTGGCCCTTCTCCGGATTCCGGTTACCGGCAGATGAGATCTTATACGTATGTCGTAAGTTTGTTTAGGGATTTCTACTTCTTGCAATATGAGTTTGGCCTGACGAGTGCGAGTTGAAAACGTATCCAACCGTCACTCGTCTATTTCTGTTTGCTTTGTATTTCCCCTGTTTTTCCAAATGAAAGTTTCAACTAGTCTTGTATTTGGTGTGTTTTCAATAAATATGCTTCCCTAATTTTGTATTTGGTGTGTTTTCAATAAATATTCTTCCAGCTTTACATCAATACACGCTGGGAAAATTTGATGGTTTCATTATCCTTTCCCTCACTTGACATACTTGATGATTAAGGGTTCTTCAAGAAACCTAAATACCTAATGCTTTTTTCAAATGAGATGAGGGTGTCCAGATTCCGGACCTGTTGTGATTGGACCATATAATATGGCAACAATTGAACGGTCTGTTTGCTTTCGGTGGGCTGCATTGAAGGATGCAAACCATGTGGAGTGCTACAAAAGAAAAGCTAGACTAGGCTTGCTTTTTTGACTTTGGGAGCATTTAGCTAGAGAAGCTATTGGATGAAAGGTGATGTCTTGGGATATGCTTGCCGAGTGAGAGGGCAGGCATCAGAGAAGCATCCAAATAAAGGAGTTGGATTGTCTACCCTCTCCATCCCATACATTTCTTATCCCCTCCTATTTCTGTGGTGACGGTTAAGTCACGTCAACATTTTATACTGATTTTTTTATATAGAAATAATAAAACAAAAAGCAATGGGAATATAAAATATTAACGTAGCTTAACCGTGACCACAGAATATAAAAAGGGATAGGAAGGGTAGGGGATGGGGAGTGCAGACAATCCAAGTCCCCCAAGATGATATATATGGGCACAGCTGGCAAAGCTCGATGGTACATTGACCACAAAATAAGAGTGCACTTAGAGTCTCGAAATAATGGCAAGATAACAGGCATACACAGTCATGAGGTCATACATTGCAGCTCTGCACAAGAACAGTGTAGAAAACGAAATCCCCTAGACCAAGTTTAATACCTTTGTACCAAACATTTTGTTACCTCCCCTTCATCTCTATTACCCTTACTTTCCTCGTTAGCTACCTCAACACCAACAATGGTATACTCAGAATTACCACCATTTTCATTCTCATTTTGATTCACATTGCCCCTGGGGACTGATTCGTCAGATAATTCTTTGAGGCATTAAATCAAACACATGGAGTGCGTATAAAGACTAGCAAAAAGCTGTACGAGAGACAGATGGAGGAAGACCATCAAACACCTGGAGATGTGTGGAGAAAGACCATCAAACTCTGTCGGCGACCCACTCGTAATTCCGTTGTTCGACGACGACGATGAAGCATCAGACACCTAGGTTTCAATATTAACCAATCAATCAAGCAATGGGGAATTCCCCAAATGGATAAAAAAATCAAATCTTTCAAGCCGAAATCGCACATGAATCACAAAATTCAAAAATACCCAAAAACACCCATTTTTGCAAAACCGAATTGAAGTGGAAAAGAACGAACCTTTTAGCGTTTGAGGTTGGGAGGAGGGGAGACGGAAAGAGCTCGATTACGCGCTCTGATTTGTTTTGGAAATAGGGAAACGCGCTAAACGGTCAGATGTCATCCCACTTTAACTTTTTTTCAAATCACTAAACGAAACGGCGTCGTTTTACTTTACGATTTTTAAAAATAAAAAATAAAATTATAACACTGTGCTGCATAGTAGCAGAAAACCAGAGAGCGGGCTGAGCAGCCATCACCTCCGACGGGACCAGAGGGGCGAAACCACCGCTCCTAGGCTTGATTTCTGGCAAGGGTGTTCCTTTGTAGCTTCGCCAGTGGTGGTGAAGGTGCTGACTTATGGGAGGGAAACGATGCAGTCGGTGTAGATGGCAGGGGCACGTGTGGAGGTGCAGTCGGTGCAGCTGCAGTGGACGTAGCGTGTAGAGTGGTAGAAAGAAATGATACAGCTGCAGCCCGTGAGTTGGGAGGTCGGCTCAGTAGGTCGATGGTTAGAGAATGGACCTGCGGAGGAAAAAAAGGCAGTGGGCCTGTGCTCGGCAACGGGGGCTGCAGAGGGGCTGAATATCTAACAAAACGGTTGGAGATTCATAAGAGACCTTCAAGTTAGTAAAAGGAAAATAATCTTCTTGAAAAATGACATGAAAAAAGACATAGATACGACTGGTTGAAGGGGGTGACACCTATAACCCAAAAAAGCTCTCACGCGGCAACGGCCCTGATCTCGTCTTTATCCTATTCAACCCCAACGACGGCGCCATAATGGGAGACACCAAAGCCGCCGGCTCCGCCGCCCCCAATGCGGACGCAGACGACTTCTTTGTAGACGAGCTCACGTACTTCGCCGGCGTCTCAAGCTGAGCTTGCGGAGTCTGCCTACTAAATTCACCGCCGCCGTTAGAACTGGTACTCGGGCCAGGCGAGTCGCTTTTGGATGTGGATTTGGGCCTTTTCTTATCGGATCGGATCGGTGAGTTTTTTTTTTAATTAACCGCCACACGCCGCCCTCCTCAGGTCCACAATGGGAAAGCCAAGGGAAGTGATGTTGGAAATACGATGTAAATACTATTTCTTCTACAACAAATCACATAAGATAAATATTAGTGTATAATAATTTTCATTGCGACAATTAATTACATAAAATGAGCAAAATAAGATACAATACTTATCTTTGATATGTAGAGAACGCTCTTCGTTGATCCTGAAATAGAACATATTTTAGGTTGAGGCATGTAAGTTCACTGTTCTTAAAGAGTAGATTTCGCCCCTCTAAGACAATGTCTCAGTGTAACAGATTATGGCACCGTACTCTCCAGGATACAACAACTTATGGTCCTTGTAATGTTACATTCGCAATACTTAGATCTGGTAAACAGCTTGATTTTTCCATTGGTACAAAACAATTGAATGACATAACAACACTTCAAGAAATAAGGAAAGGTTATAGGAAAATTGAAAAACAACTCTTTTACCATGAAATGCCCGCTGTAGACATCGAAATTTCAGTAAAACAAATGTTCACCAATGCATTAAAGTTTTGACGTGTCAAGGCATACATGGCATACGCCACGTGTTGTACAAATTGTACACATGGTGTGTGACTCAACAAAATAGGAAGAAATACCCTTGAAGGATTAAACAAGTTTTTCTTCTCATTTTGGGCAATGACAAGGCAAGTACATTTCAATCCATTGAGGATCAAAACAAGTTTTTCTTCTCATGTTGGGCAATGACAAGGCAAGCACACTTCAATCCATTACGGATCAAAGCAAGTTTTTCTCATTTGGGCAATGACAAAGCATACACATTTCAAGTTTAAAATGGTGTTAAGTGGGAAATTAGACCATAAGTTACACCACTTCAAGTTTAAAATGGTATTAAGTGGGAAATTAGGCCATAAGTTACACCACTTCAAGTTTAAAATGGTGTTAAGTGGGAAATTAAACCATAAGTTACACCACTTCAAGTTTAAAATGGTATTAAGTGGGAAATTAGGCCATAAGTTACACCACTTCAAGTTTAAAATGGTGTTAAGTGGGAAATTAGGCCATAAGTTACACCACTTCAATTTCAATATTGCATTAAGTGGGAAAATTAGGCAATGGTGCTTGGAAAGGAAAAAAATATTTTGTGGTAGTGATTCATTCTCAAAGCCTATAAATAGGCTTCTCCATCAAGGTATCAAGCATGAAGGAATTCCCAAATACATTTCTCTACTCCAAAATTAGAAGAGGAATTCCCCAAATCCTTGAAGCTTTGAAACTCCAAAGCTTCCAACCATCCAAATTCCCAAGAATTCCGAAGGATCAAGAAAGCCCTCTTCATTCTTCGTCAAATCCTCCTTCAAGATCAAGCCCCGACGGCCCTTGAAGAACTTACACCAACTCAAGATCAAACCCCGACGGCCCCTTGGATCAACAAACAAATCCACACATCCAATCAACCTTCAAGATCAAGCCCAAAAGCCCTTGAAGAAATCCACACAACCATTATTCAAGATCAAGCCCCGACGGCCCTTGAAGAAAGTGTTCATCGTTCATCAACTGTTCATCCTTAGATCAAGCCCCGACGGCCCTTTGGATCAACAACTCATCCACAAACCTACACCCTGCGAAGATAGAATCAGAGGACCAAATTTGAGAGAGATCGTAATCCCAAAATCATCAAACAAAAAATATTATTTTGTACACGTTATTCCTGTCTCTTGTTTCAAGGAACTTTTCGTGTTCACAAATTTGGCACGCCCAGTGGGACATCTCTACCTCTCATCTCTATCCTCAAATCATCGAAAAACGCAAATGGCATCAAGAAAGGATCAAGCTGTTCCTGCAATCAAAGCAAAGAACAAGAACATCATCGCCGCAAGTGGTGATATTTCGGGCACCATAACCCGAAGTAAGGCAAGAGCTATTTTTGCCGCGGCTTCCGCCCCTGCATTAACTCTGTCAAAGGAACAAGAGCACCTGAGGCACGTGATCACCCTAGCCTCGCTAAGGGCATCAAGAGGGGAAAGCCTGAGGAGATACTCAGAGTCCCTACTCTCCGACGCTGATTCGAGCGGCAATACAACCATGCAAGTCATGACCACTGGAGCAACTTCAATCGAGGAGCAACTGGCTCAGATGAATGAAGCAATCGCAAAGCTCACACGGACTGCAGAGGAGAAAAACTTGCAAACCGCCGGACTCATCAACCGTCTGGAGGCACAGCATGGCGTCAAAATGAAACCAAGCTCTTTTCCAACTAAGAAGACCGAAGAAGACTTTAACCCAAATGCCTATGAACTCATGTCAAAGGCTAGGCATGACTTTGCTTCCTCTTCAAATCTTGGAAAGAAGGTTTCAAACACCGTCAATGACAAAGAACGTAACCTCACCAAAACTCAAAAGAAGTTGAAGGAGCATGGTTACGGAGTTGACAACAACAAAGCCGGACTTGGTTTCACACCAAATGCACCTGTGAAGATTTCAAGCAAAGTGAAGAAAGCTAGCGCTCAACACATCAGCGTGAGCATTGAACAAGACCAAAAAGAGCCTAAACCCGCCCCTCGGACGTCGGTCTTCGATAGGATGAGCCATTCAAGCTCCAGAATTTCAGTGCTTAATCGCATTGGTAGTCAAGGCCGAACCTCTGTCTTCAAGAGGCTTAGCACGCCAACATCCCAAAGCTCTGTTTTTGAAAGGTTGTTAAAGCCTAAGAAACAAAGCAACACAACTATCTCTCCTCTGCGACGATCAGCTTCGGAAAGATTTGAAGATAATGAGAAGCCTTTTGGAAAGAGGAAGACAACACCAAAGGAAGAAAAGTTCGATGGGCTAGCAGAAAAATGTGACGTTCGAAGCTTGATTCCTTCAAGGATGAAGCGCCAAGCAATCCTAGAGGTCGATACAAAAGGACCACTGAAGGTAAGGAGGCACATCATCGTCCACACTGGCAAATCTTCATGCCAACAAACCCAAGAGGACGACACTGAAGATGAAATCCCTAAGAAAGATGTCACTTCTGGCTCTTTCGACTCAAAGTCTTCACCTCGACTGTTGGGGGCATGCTCCAAGTCAAGTGAAATTGAAGGATGGACTCATGTCGCTTCGAAGAAACTGCACGAGAAACATATGTCTTCTCCACAAGTGCACCAATCAGAAAGGGGGGAAAGCAGCTTTCGCCAACCTCCAAAGCAATGTGAAAATGTTGAAGATAAGAAAATTTCAACACAAAGATCGTTCATGCGGGATCTTTTCTTCCTCGAAGACTTATTCAATATCTCGACCAAGGCTCCTTGCTATGAAGATTGTGAGGAATGCCTTTCGAAGATCGCTTCGAAGAAATTGGACAAGCAGCAACCATCTTGTCCACAAGTTTATCAGTCGAAAAGGGGGCAAAACAGCTCTTGTCAACCTCCAGAACAATGTGAAAGTGTTGGAGATAATGAAATTTCGACACAAAGATCGTCCATCCCCATCACAATGTGCGACCTCTTCCCAGAAGACTTCTTTAATTACTCGGTCAAGGCTCCTTCCTATGAAGATTGCGAGGAACGCCTCTCCCAGACCGCTTGACAAATCCACAACAACAACCAAACGCTACTGGTCCGCATGAGCATAAAAGGCGACAACCAAAGCTCCTCGTTCGCATGAGCCTAAAATGCGACAACCAAGCTCCTCGTTCGCACGAGCCTAAAAGGCGATAACTAAGCTCCTCGTTCGCACGAGCCTAAAAGGCGACAACCAAAGCTCCTCGTTCGCACGAGCCTAAAAGGTGACAACCAAACGCTCATTGCCTGCACGAGCTGAAACTGCAAACGACACCAAACGCTCCTTGCATGCACGAGCTGAAACTGCAAACGGCACTAAACGCTCATTGCCTGCACGAGCTGAAACTGCAAACAGCACCAAACGCTCCTTGCCGATCATCCAAATCCCAGCTGATTGGAAAATCTCAGACGACTTGCCTGACGAGGAGGTGTTCTACATCGACATCTTCCCAACATGGACGATGTTCTTCGACGGATCCACACGAGCAGACGGAGCGGGGGCATGAGTAATATTCATGTCGCCACAAAGGCAAATACTACCTTACTCATTCCAACTGAATGAGCTATGCTCCAACAATGTTGCTGAGTACCAAGCATTGATCATCGGGCTCCAAATGGCGATCAACATGGAAATCACAGCTCTTGAGGTATATGGCGATTCCAAGCTCATAATCAATCAACTCTGAACTGAATATGAGGTGAGGAAAGATGATCTCGTCCCATACTTCCGGCTAGCGACCCAACTGCTACAAAAGTTCGAAGCTGTGACACTGGAACATGTGCCAAGAAAGGAAAATCAAATGGCAGACGCTCTCGCCAATCTAGCCTCGAGTATGACACTAGGAAAATATGAAGTTGCAGACGTGCCAGTTTTCCAAAGATGGGTGATTCCGCTCGTTAATGAAATGTCACTAGATGATACAAATGTCATCTCAGTACTTCCAGTCGATGATGAAGAGTGGAGACAGCCGCTGATCGACTACTTAGAGCACAGAAAGCTTCCAGATGATCTCAGACACCGTTCCGAAATACGTCGACGAGCACCTCGCTTCCTTTACTACAAAGGAACACTCTATCGACGCTCTTTTGAAGGAGTGCTCCTGAGATGCCTAGGTGAGGAAGAAGTTAATCTAGCCATGGAAGAAGCACATTCAGGTGTGTGTGGGGCACATCAGTCTGGACCAAAGCTACATTTCCGGCTTAAAAGAATGGGTTACTACTGGCCGAGCATGGTGAAGGACTGCCTGGAACACGCCAAAAGGTGCCAAGCCTGCCAATTCCACGCCAACTTCATACATCAACCGCCTGAACCATTACACCCTACAGTTGCTTCATAGCCGTTCGACGCATGGGGATTGGACGTTGTAGGACCAATTACGCCAAAGTCATCTGCAGGGGAAGCTTACATCCTAGCTGCAACAGATTACTTCTCCAAGTGGGCTGAAGCCATCCCTTTAAGGGAAGTAAAAAAGGAAACTATTGTTCGTTTCATCAAGGAGCATATCATCCACCGATATGGGGTGCCTCG